AGCCTGGCCTGGTGTCTGACACCTCCCCCGGTAGAAACTCGCCTAGGCGGCCTTCCTGTATGTGTGAAACAATGCAGTTTGGGGATTAAATATCCAGTAAAACATGTTCGTTTTTTGGCCGATGGGTCAATATTCGAATTTTGAAGGTTCACGAAAAAGTACAAGTAAGTTCGTGCTCATGGAGTCATGGTCAGTCCACCATACTCTACTGGTAAACTGCACTGAACTGCTGTACCATGGTAGGAAGAGTCCATTTTGTGAAAAATTCTACTTGACACGTGAGTTGCATTTGTGTCTGTTTATTAGCCCATGGGCTTATAAATGGAGGTGGGCTTATATCCGGATATAGGCCTATGGGCTTTTATGCGCGGAATTACGGTACCGGTATTACTTCTCACGGGAATGTCACACGGGCGTATATGTACATGTACAGTACAAATATTAATGTTATTCCATAGTCTCATTGTCACAGGTGATTGATACAATGAGACCATCCCGGTACAAACATGCGTTCCCCGAGTTCCGCTTGCCGATTCTAAAACGAGGTTTTCTACTTGACAGCCAGTTTTGTCGTCGTTCCAACCTCAATCAGCGCCAGTGAGGGTGTCGGAAATCGTCGGAAATGAGACACTCATCCAGAAGAAAGTGCTTTTTGATGATCCTGGATGTCTCCCATCTCTCCCTCTAAGGGCGCGCTCACACTGCGACCATGAGCACGCGTCCATGCGTCAGAAAAACGCAGAAACGTGGGAGTCGTGCTCACACTAGGCTTCGTAGACGCGTAGACGTGAAGTTGTCACACAAACTTTACGAATTGCAGTTCGTATCCAAAAGAGTTCGTGCGTTTCCTAATAAAGTTGTGGCCCGTTTTGGATGTAATTTTTCACATGTTGCATATGCGCATGTTGGAGGAAGTGCCTCGTGGCTCGTATTCTTGAAGTCGACGAAAATAATTCATACAATCAGGTAGGTTTGGACTCTTGAGGGACTGCCATGCCGCTGACATCCAAGCGCTTTCGCTTTCGCTTTCCTGACCTCGTGGTCAGAGCAAGTGCCAGTGCAGTGGAAATTCCGGTAGTGGTTTCTTTCGTCTGTTGCCGAGATGAGAGCTGTATTTTCCGATGATATGTAACTGAAATGTCTTGAGGTATGGCATTCCATCATCGCAGAAAAGTAGAGAAAGATGATTTCCGAAACCGAAAAGCCAGACCAAGCTGCCATCGTATTGAACGAGTACACTGTAGAAATTGGTCACTGACCCGATCACAACGAAGCAACTACAAAAACAAAAACAAAATCGACATCGTCCAAAAAGGGCAAAGAATGGCGGTGCGTGCGTGCAGGACCACAACTACAAAATTTTAAAAATGTGCAAATGTCGAGGTGACATCGACAACCGCCGATTTTCATGGATCAACACACCGGAATTTGAGAAATTGAACATACTTCAGGCCAGGTTGTACACAAATACGCTTCACGTCTACGATCATGTTGCCGCCAAGTCGTGGCACCCCCCTCCCCTCCCCTCCGGAGGTCGCGGTCACGATTTGAAACGTGGCCGCGACGTTTTGGTAAAGTTCATGCCGTTGCCATGCAACTTGGCCGCATGGCCGCATGGACGCTGGTTTTGGTCGCAGTGTGAGCGCGCCCAAAAGGGTTAATACTCGGTGCACATGCGGATTTGGCAATGGCAAGCAGGAAACCTGCAAACAACGAGCAGTCAACAATATTAGTTACAGTCGTGCTCATGTGCAGCGGCCTAGACAAGAGACTGAGTGTGAGTAGTCAATCAGCGTTAGTCATGATTACCAAGAGTATTATTGGTAATAGCGTTAGCCAATAGGGTAAGCATGGCATGCTCCCAGGATCGCCAAAGAAGATTCGAAACACCTTCAGCTCTCCCCCTGCATAGCTACAGAAAATACGCAACTCGTTTAGTGCTTGCCTTGGCTTTCATCACTTCTGTTCAGGCTCTTAATTATAATAATGACAGTAAGAATTATAATTATTGACTGGCTGGTTCAAGTAACTTTAGAACGAGACTGAGAAGGGCAGAAAATAGGACAAGAAACACTCAACACATGTCAGTAACAGCAAGAGCGTGTGCATGGTTATATACTCAGAGTAATCGGCATGTTCGTTCGGTTTCCCATTGTGTCCCAGCGCGCGCCAACGACGCTGCCCTCACGGCAGAAAACAGCTGGAATTGGTCGGCCGAACCAACATTGTGTGGCACGCAGACATTCGGGACAAAGGCAATGTGCGAAGTACAAGAAACCATACCAGGTGTACGCAGTAAGTAGAAATCCCAAACCTTGAATTTGTGGTACATGTCAGTTACCCAGTCTAGTGTCACACTAAATCTTGTCTGTGTTGGTTCGCGAGAAGCTGCAGCTGCATTCAGACCAGTTGATGATCATACATGCAGTCGACTAGACGGATGAGAATATACTTCACCTCACTTGAATCGGGGTGGCAATCGAGGGAACTACTTCCTCTTCCTCCGGCTCCGTCGTTACGCGCGGAAACTCACATGTCGACGAGGTGTCACCTCTCATCCATGTCGTGCTGGGTCATGATGAACTACAGTAAAACCTGTCAAGGCGACCACTCGGATAAGGTGACCACCTGGCACCTGTCCTAAAAGATCACTGAAACCAGGATCAAGGGATGCTAGCTATGTCCAGTCAAATGACCCTGGACAAGGAGACCACCTGGTAACAGAGACCACGTTTTGAAGGTCCTTGAGCGGTCGTCTTAGACAGGTTTCACTGACTACCTGGTACCAGAGACCACATTTTGAAGGTCCCTTGAGCGGTCGTCTTAGACAGGTCTCACTGTAGTCTTCTACACCATGCATGGGGAAATGCTACTACTACTCTACTCTAGTTCACTCGACACAAAGTGTTTATTGCAATCAGCACAGTGTGAGAACAACAATGAACAAAGAGCTCAAGAGCTAGTGCGTCGTGTTTCAAATCCATTATGGTCATCGCATGCACATGCACCATGTAGATGGGCTCGCCCCAATGGTATTATCAAGAGTGAAGCAGCTGGGAGCGTAGTATACTCTTGGAATTACATAGATCTGTATCTAAGGTGGACTGGTTACAATGTCAATTTTGGAAACAAAAGCTGAGTGAAAAGCCAAGTCGAATCTGAGGTCTTTTCCCCATGGTTAGCCAATACGGAATTAGACTCACCCCTGCTATTTTACTACATCCTTCACCCTCACCAAGTACCACCATGCCATCTTAGCCAATGAACGAAGCATAAACGCACCAACACAGTGAGGACACTTCCGCCCCCTGTTGTTTGTTCACAATATTAGACGTCTCGTGATAAACAAGCTATCTGTTCTCCGGGAAGCCGGGGGGGGGGGGGGAGAGAGGAGGAGGCGAGAGCCGAGGGGCATACAATCATACACCTTATCCTTTCCCTAATTGGAACCGTACATTATGTCTTCCACCTAACACGTAGTACACTATAATCATGAGCAAAACGCTTCCAGGTAGCTCAGGGCTCGGAAGCTTATCATAGATAACTCTCCCTACCTGATCTCTCTTAGGTGCGTCCATCGAGCTATGACACCGAGACCTCTGGTCGGCTGAGCTTATTGGGCCCCACCACAACACTCCATTATTCACCCCAGTGTCTGGAGATATGTGGATTTTGTAGAAGAAAAAAATACTCTTGCTGTACGTGTATTGTGATGTGAGATCAGATACAACCCTGATAGAATGTTGGAGACTCGCTCCCTCAAAATTAGGCCGAAGCTTGTGGCTAAATGCCGTGATGAAAACGGGTTCGATCTGTATAACTAAGTTTACAAACCTCACGGGCAAAATATAAACCCCAAAAATACCATACTGATCAATAATAGAAATGCAACTAAAACCCAAAACAATTTAAAATCTAAAAAACTCAACGCAATTTCAAAATTTTGAACGACGCTTCACGCAGCTTCATTGCACTTTCATAGTTTGCAGGCAACCTGCATGCACTCAAGAGAGCACTGGACAGGCATTCCTGATGATGGCCGCGAAGACCGAAACGTTGAAACGATACTTCTAATGGATTTGTGTGAAATGCAGTGCTCTCTTGAGTGTAGGCAGGTTGCCTGCAAACTATTCAAACTCAAAGCAAGTGAAAAGAACTCAAAGCAAATGAAAAGAACTCAAAGTGTTAAAGAAAAGAACCCAACCAGCCGTACACGGAGCACACAAGAGGCAAGAGCATAAATAAGCAAACCTCCTCAAAAAAATATCAGTAAAATCCATGAACCGGAAATTCAGACCGGACCTTGGGCCTCCGATCGCCACAGCCAGTGCAGCAGACGAAGCACCAGCCTCAACTACGCCTACGGGACGTCCGAGCAGCTTCCTGCAGCCTCGGAGACACATAATATGAGACCTACATGTACAATAATTATCATGTACAGTGTAAGTAGCGAGAAAGACAACTACCGGTACATGATTGTAGTATTACTTACATCGAACATAGGCCATGACGTGACAATAGTCAATACTGCTCGGACTTCTTTGCTGCCAGAAGACTGATGAATTCAGCGGCCACCCTTGCGTCATCACGTGCATCATAGTGACACGGGTACGGGTACGTAGGCACACGTTTTTGGTAGCCATGACTACTCTGCTCGCGGATGTTTTTAGTCGGCGCGCGGTGTCACGAATGTCGGTTCACAAAAAAGAACAGGACACGCAGATCATGTGGGTGGCCCCTGGCCCCGTGCTACACCGTGGCTCAGGAGTAGAATCTACGAATCATCAGTCAGTGTTGAAATAGATACTGTACTTGTCTTTGCCGACTGCACAGATACCAGTAATAATTGTACTCCTTCAGGCTTCACGGCCCCGGGTGACACTGACAGACTGGCTACATGCAGACACTGTGTCTGTCTTTACTGACGTGACACAGCTAGCTAGCTCTAGGCTAGCTCTCGCGCTCGACAAACACCACACGTTTTTCGAAAGCTGGCGTGCGAGATAAACGCTTTTTGTGGATAGAATCTGATAATTCTCTGTTAGATGACCACACCGTGTTGGCAGCTCACTCAATTGTACTTCTGTGACTATTTCGAGACGCAGCGGTGCAGTGGAGGGTCGCACGCTTTCCTCTCTCTCGTGTGCGTGGTGTATTGTTAGTGGACACCCCATTCAGGCAACTGTCCAGTCGAGGGGCGCAGCTTTTTGACGCTGGCCGTGAGTCTTGGGAAGCGCAAATTTCTGGATTTTGGATGTCTACAATTATTTCAGAATCGTCCGCTCCGCTCGCTAAATGTCCGTATATGCGAGGACCACAATATTCAGGATTTCTCTTGCAGTCGATAGCGTTGCCTGTTATCTACGTTAGCGATCGGTACAACTGGTAACGCTCGGTCGAGCAACACTGGCTGTGTCTTGACTCTTGGCTCAACCAGTACTGCCTGTGAGGTATGGTCGGCTGGCATTTCACTGAGACTACCCCCACCTCTGAACATTACCACAGACACACACGGTGACACACACGCACGCACATGCACACACACATACACACACACACACACACCTTTGGCCTTTTGACGCCCATCGCCGGAGGCGATGATAGCGATGCTACGCAGAAGCCATAGCAGCTTGTGCTGGGATTGCACCATTCAACGGCTTGCAAGGCCGATAAACACACGCACGCGCGCGCGCGCACACACACACACACGCACACTCAAGCTTGCTCAGTGATTGGTGATGGTGTTCTCAGTGTACACCGCTCTGTACGTTGGGCTGTAAGAGTTTGTTGTGCATTTGTGTGTGTGTGTGTGTGTGTGTGTGTGTGTGTGTGTGTGTGTGTGTGTGTGTGTGTGTGTGTGTGTGTGTGTATGTGTGTGTGTGTGCATGTGTGTACATGTGCATGCGTGCATGTGTATGTGTGTGCACGTGCATGCGTATATGTGTTATAATATGTGTTATATGTATGAAGGTATACTGGACCTGAATTTCCACAATGGGAGACTCCAGCCCACTGCCACGACAAGACTCCAACTCATCGTCCAGTCCGGGCACCAGCCGTCGTCCCCGCATCCTAGGCCGTCAGTATCAGCTACTGCAGAGGCTGGGGCAGGGTAGCTTTGGCGTTGCCTATATGGTCAAAGATATCAAGTCGGACAAGAATAGTGACGACAGCCTGTGAGTGTGGTGTTCTATTTCATGTTTTTACTATGAACGCAGCCTTTAATACTGGGAGAAATGTACTGTAAACCGTGAAATTATTGCCATGGTCTAATTTCTACGAAATTCGCGACCGCGTGGAAATCGCGAAATTTAGACAGCGCGAAAAGGAGATCCATGAAAGGTTTAGCAAGAATGCCATTCTGCAATCGCGAAATTAAAACCTCGCAAACCTGTCCGGATTCTGAAAACGCGAATTAAAAACGCCGCGAAAATTTCCCCCTTTACAGTAACTTCTTACTCTTTTCCTTGCTGGCCATGCTTGGCTATACAAACCTTGCAATCGCCATGCAAAGTGGTCATTGGCTACCCCAGCCATGTATTGCTTGGAATAAAACTAAAACTCTGAGAGCAACTCGAATGACCAGAGGTCTCGGCGTTAGCGTTGCAATCTGAGGCATCGTAAATGGGGAAAAGGGGATGGGGTGGTGCAGAAGAAGACAGCAGAACAAACGGAAGAGGGCACCACACTCCGCAGGGGTCAAGTAGTCATGGAGGTTCTGCGATTACATCAGCAGTGGACAGCTTTCCAAAAGTCAGTGCACTAGCTCAAGCAAATTTGCTCACTCACATATACAAAGCGCCAATAGGCGTTATGCTGACTCGCGATGTTTACGTAGCGCCCGTAAGCGATTCCGCTGACTCGCCACCATAACATCATTCACATGACCTCAATAGGACAACGGAGTCCCGGGACCCCGAACAGGTTCACACAACCCACTCTTTGGAATGAGGCACGTTCCTGCATTACCCTAGTCAGCGGGGTGATGTGTTTCTCTGTAATAGAAACATGTTGGTGGCCTCACCTGGTACCCGATAGTGTTAGTGACTGAATGGCTCGAACAAATTATGATCATGACTTCCGTTGTGCCTGCGTCTTCCTTGGCTCGCAGGAAGGTGTTGAAGGAGATCTTCATTGGTGATAAGCTGCCAGATAATGGACTGGATGCCGTGAGAGAGGCCAAACTACTCTCTAAGGTAATGTTCATTTGCGGTGTCTACTGATTCAGCGCACAGCCACAATACATACCATTTCAATGACGCTTTCTCCCCTTCTCTCACATTCCCTCCCTCTTGCTCTCACGGCTTCTCTGTCTGTATGCCTCTCCCTCTACCCCTCTCTATCTCTCTCTCAACCTCTCCCTCCCTCCCCCCCCCCCCTCTCTCTCACCCTCTCTTTCCCTTTGTATCTGTATTTTTTTTTTTGTATTTATATCATTATCTCATGGCACATCATGATGACGGCCAATACAACTGAGACAAGGGTGAAAGCCAACCACAGCAGTAAAACAGATAAAAGAATACAAATAAGAGGCAAAGAAGGCAAAGGAGGAGACAAACCAGCAGGATATACATGAAACCTGTAATTGAGCAGAGAATTTAGCAACAAAATTATCCATCGACGTGCTGGTCTTGGCCTGCGTAGGTAATGTTGCCCAAAACACATAGCCAGCAAAGATCGGGGATCTAGTGAATAGGGTGGAGGCAGCGCGTGGGAGACTGAGATCTGTCTCTCTCACACACACACACACACACACACACACACACACGCACTTACAAGTTGACCTTGAAGATATTAGCCTAGTCTCACGTTGGGGGGTTGGGGGTTCCGAACACCATGAAGATCGGCAGTATTGTGGGCATCAAAAAATGTCTTGCATGGTATGAAACTGCATACGTTATATTGTCCTCCTATCTTTGTATGCATTCCTATGAACTGCAGCTGAGTCATCCCAACATTGTCAAATATCACAGCAGCTTTGTGCAAGGTGAAATGTTCTGCATTGTCACGGAGTATTGCGATGTAAGTAGTACCACCGCCAATTGCGTTTTCACTTTTGGAAGCCTCCGATCACATGTACCTGCAGACACACACCATATATACGCCCGTCGCAAGAGAAGCACGCAAATCTGCAAATGCACTGGATGTGCCCTCCCCCCCCCCCCCCCACACACACGCAAGCACACACACACACAAACACACACACACACACACACACCTTGCCTTGCCTTGCATAATTGCATACAACTGCCAGTCCCTGGCCACGCCGCACCCAAACGGGAAGAGCTTCTGCTGAGCATCACAATTACGGCAACACTTGCTAGGAGACACTCCCCACACTGAACCGTCGGTTCTCCGCGCTCCTCCATCCGGCACCGCACACCCCACCAACCCTAAGCCTATCAAGTGGTCTTCACGTGAGAACAAAAACTCAACAGTACCAACAGATACGAATGTGTCATGTCTTCCAGAGTATAAGCCGCACTTTAAGAACTTGTAATTCACCCAAACAAAGTCAGTGCCGCTTATACTACGATCGTCAAATGAATGGTGATATAATATTATGGGGTAGATGTCTCTACTTCGTGACAAATATCTGGGTGTGGCTTATACTTCAGTGCGGCTTGTACACTTTGCTCTTCATTGAGATATCTACCATTCTCTCTTCTTTCTCATTATTTTCTCACCAGCTCTCCTTCCCTGTAACACAATAACATATTCGCTGCCTTGTCATTGAGCAGTTGTGCTCATTTGGTTTTGCGAATTCGAATAAGATACACGAACAAACAAACTCCGGAAAATACGATAGTGAGTTTTTGCTCAGGTGAATATTTGGTGAATGTGGTATTATTGTCTTTGCAGAATGGAGACCTTAACATGCTGGTCAAGCGTGTGCGCAAGGAAGGCAAGCGCTTCGAAGAGAAGCTCGTTGTCACCTACTTCGTACAGCTGCTAATGGCCATCAAGTACATGCATGACAGGTGAGTGCGTTTGTTTGTTTGTTTATTTTTATTTTACTTCACCAAGTACCGTATTTCCCCGATTGCAAGTCACACTCGATAGTAAGTAGTACTCCCATTCCAGGTCCATGTCATTATCGTTTCGATATATTCACTTCAGTAGTTAGTCATGCTTGATTGTAAGTCGCTCCCCGGCCTTTGTTGGCCCTGAGGTTTAGTGTAAAGATGTTCGACTTATATTCGGGGCAATACGGTACGCAGGCATTCCTGCCTTTTCGTCTATCATTATGGCTAGACTCTCAATAAAAGAGGTAAAGGTGTACTGCGTGTTGGCTGATGAGTGACTGTGTTAGAACTGGCAACGGTGTTTACAGGGGCAACGGTGTTTACAGGGGCAACGGTGTTTACAGGGGCCACAGTGTTTACAGGGGCAACCGTGTTTACAGGGGCAACAGTGTTTACAGGGGCCACAGTGTTTACAGGGGCAACAGTGTTTACAGGGGCAATCGTGTTTACAGGGGCAACAGTGTTTACAGGGGCAACGGTGTTTACAGGGGCAACGGTGTTTACAGGGGCCACAGTGTTTACAGGGGCAACCGTGTTTACAGGGGCAACAGTGTTTACAGGGGCCACAGTGTTTACAGGGGCAACAGTGTTTACAGGGGCAATCGTGTTTACAGGGGCAACAGTGTTTACAGGGGCAACGGTGTTTACAGGGGCAACGGTGTTTACAGGGGCCACAGTGTTTACAGGGGCAACCGTGTTTACAGGGGCAACAGTGTTTACAGGGGCAACCGTGTTTACAGGGGCAACCGTGTTTACAGGGGCAACAGTGTTTACAGGGGCAACGGTGTTTACAGGGGCAACGGTGTTTACTGGGGCCACAGTGTTTACAGGGGCAGCAGTGTTTACAGGGGCAACAGTAGGGAGGTTTAGTCCCACGTAATCCGTGGGTGCTTTATGTGTGTGTACCACGTGATACTCAGTGACCCACGTACAGACGTTTTCTGATTCACGACATACCGTGTATGGAGGCTCTCCCACGTTCCGCCAGAACGTGGATGAAAATCAGAATTGAGTGCATTGTGCAAGCTGTGAGGGTGCTCAGCTGAAGAAGTTTCCGAAGTACGAAATCAAAATACTGGATGAGCTTCTTAGGCCCGGGTAGCTTCGTCTTTGACCAGGTTTGGGCCTTTCGCTTCATGCTTTTGTTTGTTCCGTGTGACTAAACACAACATTGCAACGTGGGTGCCCTTCATCCACTTTACGCGGATCACCCACGTACGCGTTTCCGTTACGTGGGAACTAAACCTCCCTAATGATGTCATACACTTACTTGTGTACTAAAGTCTGGATATGTGCGCTGTACAATCATTCTGGTTTTTCATTATTCTAGCATGTATGCTTGCGCATGCGCTTTCACTTGTGATTCCATGCGAAGAGTAGTATGGTCGTCTTGCTTGCTCACTCGGCATTTTGTGTGTATGTGTGTATGTATTTGTGTGTGCATGTGCATGTATGTGTTCATCGTCTGCAGGAAACTACTACACCGAGACATCAAGGCGAGGTCAGTTGCACACACACTTTCCCCTTTCACTGTCTTTGGGAGCCAGTTCCTAAATCCTTCTGGGGCATTCTGACTCTAGTAACAATCCATTCGAGGAGAACAACGATGAGCCGTGTGTGTTCATCAAGAATCCAGACAGTATGAATTGTCGGTGTACTGCCTACTAAATGTGCTGTTTGCTTTCCCTGCTGCTGTTCTTGCTTTTTCCGTAGTAACATCTTTCTGCGAAACAACGTGATCAAGCTAGGTGAGAGCATGGGGGAGCCGTTTACAATTATGCCGGTTGGGATCTTTTTGAAACTGTTGTTTCCTTACCTGTAAACTCACGACGGCCGCTAACACCCGGTAAACCCGTACCTGTTCTTTGTCGTAAATGCAGTTATGTGTATGCATCTCTCTATAAGATGTTGGCTGTGTGGTTGGAGTGACCATTATGGCACGTATTAGCTATCCTTGAGGGCTGACTGCATTCCCGTACTGGGATGGATTTAGCTATAGTGTGATAGTCTCTTTGTATTCATATGTACTTCAAGTAACTATGTACTCTTGTTAGGGGGTTCAGGGAGCCTGTTAATATCCATGTGTGTGGCATGGAAACGCGCGCGCGCGTGTGTGCGTGTGTGTCTGTGTACTTCTGTGTGCTCGTGTGTCCTTGATCAGGCGATTTCGGCATCACACGTCTTCTGGAGCGCACCACGGACATGGCATCGACATTCACCGGCACACCTAACTACATGAGTCCAGAAGTGGTGCAACACCAGGGATATAACTCGAAGTCTGATATCTGGTAGGTCATGCTTTCATCAATAGACACATGGCATGTTGTGCATCTACCGACCTGGCCAGAGAAATCCAACTTCATGAACATAATGGCGCCGAGGGCTATGCGGTCCTAGCACCACACACACAACAAGCTGCTCACTTGAGCGCGCCGCTGCTTTATTCACAAGGTCGGATTTCTCTGCTCAGAACCTTAGCTAAGGCGGGATTCGTTTTAACCAGCACAAGCGCTGCTGGCTAGTGTTCCACTGTCTGCACACATCACTGGGCACTGCACTGTAGTTGAGCTGGGTGCTGCCTTGTTTTCTTACACTGGAAGATGCCCGGCCGGGTCTTTTGGAGCTGCTGCAGCATAACGGTCATAATCTAAAAACAGAACCTCGGCTATTGTGTGAGCAATCGTCGAGGTGGAGATAGAAAACGTGAAAATGGCAATGAATAAAACAAATTGTGCAGTCATAACAATGTACTCGGATGGAGAGCCAAGGATTAATTTATACAAAGAGCGTAACTTGTAGTTCCTTGGTCCTTTCTCTTCATAACAATGTAAAAATATAAACAGTTATGTACCTCTTGAAGTAGTCTCCAAAACACCATTTCTTGTGGTGCGTGTGTTTGACTAGGCATTGTGAGAGGGAGAAGGTAGGAGGTTAGAAATTGCGATCATGATCAGTCCGCTCATTTACACTAGCTTCGACCGATGGAACACCTTTCCTTGTACCCAATAACGGAGCAGGTCCAGAACCAGACAAGGAGACAGCCAGTGGTCCTCGAAAGGACATCCCGTGCTAGAGCCATGATCGTGATTGCCCGTTCCTTTGAATTTCCTTTGAATTTCCTTTGGATTTCCTTTGAATTTCCTTTAAATTTCCTTTGAATTTCCTTTGAATTTCCCTCGGATTTCCTTTGAATTTCCTTTGGATTTCCTTTGAATTTCCTTTGGATTTCCTTTGGATTTCACTTTGACCATAAAATAAAATAAAAAAGTAAATTATCGTGTCCGTTCCCGAAGGGAACTCACGACGGCCGCTAACACCCGATAAACCCTTTGACCATAGAATATGTATTAATGCGATGACTAGTATTAGTGAGGCAGACCTTGTGATAAACAACTAAGGGTATAGTGAATATACATGACCGAAAAATATCATCAAGGAATGCAGAACGGTCTTGCAGAATGATCTTGGACGTTGTCTGCCCTTGACTATCGCGGCTCGTTCTGTGCTGGGTGCTCTAGTCTACCTCTGTAAACCTATGCATCGGTAATAGTCAATCTGCGGACAGAACTGTTTCGTCCTTTGTGGACTCATCAGCGCAGCACAGAGAAAATGAGGCCAACCCTGATAGATAGCAATGAAAAATAAATTCTCCAACGCCAGATTTAAACCCGGCCCAAACGTACCTTGCCAATGGGAAATAGTCGAATGGACAAAGGTAGTGATCCTACAGTGTATGTGTCTATGTTTGTTCTACTATTGATTTGTGTGTGTACAGGTCAGTGGGATGTGTTCTGTATGAGATGTGCGCACTGAGTGTGACCTTCCAGGCCGGGGTAAGCTGCAGTGCACACGTGCAACACCTCGTCATCTTACCATTCCCCTTGTCCCTCTCTCTCTCTCACTTACACCCTCTCTTTCTCGCTGTCAGTTAGTCTGTCTCTCTCACTTTGTCTGTATGTCTCTCTGTCTGTTTCTCTATCTGTGCATGTGTGTGCGTGTGTGTATGTGTGTGTGTGTGTGTGTGGCTTTTCCACCAAAAAGTAGGGATTCACTGGCCAGAAAAGCCACTTCATAGCTGTGTGGTGTAGACCAGGCTGAATAGTGGCGGTCAATTCTTCAGCCTTGCAAGTTGTTGAATGGTGCAATCCCAGCACAAGCTGCTATGGCTTCTGCTGTAGCATCGCTATAATCGCCTTCGGCGATGTGCGTCCAATGGTCCAATGGTGTGTGTGTGTGTGTGTGTGTGTGTGTGTGTGTGTGTGTGTGTGTGTGTGTGTGTGTGTGTGTGTGTGTGTGTCTCTCTCTCTCCATCTCCCCCGTTTCCAGATCACCTTTTTACACCCCTCTGCTCTCTGTTTCCTCGTGGTTTTATAGTAGTTATTTTGTAATGCATAACAGATCCTGCACGTCATGGCTGCTCAATGCCGTGGTCTTTGGATGTGTAAAGAGATGGAATCTTTGCTGTCGCTTTTCTCTACATCTATCTCTCTCTCTCTCTGCCTCTCTGTGTCTCTCTCTCTCTCTCTCTCTCCCCCCCCCCCTCTCTGCCGCCATTTCACCACGCAGAATCTCCTAGCGTTGATGAAGAAGATAGTGTATGAGGATGCACCTACACTGCCTCGTACCTACAGTCCCGATCTCTGTGACATCTTCAACATGTAAGTTTTCTTTTTGCTCCATACATTGTATGTGTGATTGGCACTGATTGCAGAGCTATCTCAACACCCTCACTAATGAGTACAATAATAATACTAAATGCTCATTATTATGCTCGCAAGGTTGCAGGGGGTGCTAGACAAAAGGTCTGAAAAAGGGTTGGTTGTAACAATAGGACTTCGACCGGGTTTTTTTGATCTAGGAACTGGCTGGGCATCTTGGTACATGTACTTCGAAGTATGTGTAGGGGCAGGGGCAGGGGGGGGGGAAGGGGGGTGGTAGGAGTTGTACTATGTTCCTCTCTTCTCTGTTGTATGTGTGAAGAGGTTCTGCCTGGTAGCACTCAGACTGGTATGAACAGAGGTGTTCCCTGCGTACTTGTTCTTACAACAATTATCAATCAAATAGATCAATCTTTTGCCCATTTCCGATTAGGCCACACACAGTAACTGTTTTAGTTTGGGAAACGTGGAAACTATCAACCGACATCATGGCACTGTACATTGAAAAGTGGCATGGCATGCCGCTTTTCAATGTACAGTGTACTACCACATTCACTCTCTGATGAGCCCAAGGGTACAAATTATTTAGGGGTACACTGTATGAATCACACCGCAGCGTCTTAGACCATGGTTACGGTCTGATAAATAAGGGTGATATTTATCCGTATGCATGAGAGTGATGACTGGTATTCTTCTGTCCTATGTGTATTCCCATGCTCTCTGCCTGTGACAGGATGATGGAGAAAGACACGGCGAAGCGAGCGTCTGCGTTGACTCTTCTGCGCCATCGCTACATCGTCAAGCATGTCTCGGTAAGCGATAACACACACTTCTCACTCAGTTCAGGGCCCCACAGTAAAAATACCCCTCTCCAAAACAGGAAGAAGAAAAATTCAGCTGTGCACCTTCAAGGCTACTGTGACAGGTCCTATATCCTGTAGAATAAATCTTAATTTAATAGTAAGAATTGGTCTGGGTGAGCGGTTATGAGAGGTGTGTGTGTGTCAGTGTGTGCAGGCATACGCGTGTGTGGGAATGTGTGTGGGTGTGTGTGTGTGTGTGTGTGTGTGTACATGTGTGTATGCCTGTATGCTCTTCTAACATGGCAGTAAAACATTCACTGCTCTACTTTGCTGTTTGTGCTCAGAACTTGAAGGAGCAGATCCTAGACCAACAAACTGCGGCCGAGAAGGACACGTCCGAAATAGTACAAGCACTGTGAGTGGTCTGATATGCAACACTTTCTCCAGCAGCCCCTCTCTACAACGCAACACCTGTGTGTAGCAATAACCACCTATAGAGAGTGACCACCTATGGGGAATGACCACCTATAGGGAATGACCACCTATGGAGAATGACCACCTATGGGGGGCTTCGTGAGCTGGCGGTGGTGGAGGGTCGGGTTCCCCTGCTGTGATTGGTGCTGCACCGAGCTTGTTTTGTGTGAAAGTATAACTTTTATTATTATTCTTATATCTGTACTTCAAGTATTACAAAATAATTGAGAGGCTTTGAATCGTTTTTATCAAAATCTAAATATTTGCCGGGTTGGAAGGTGGGACCTATGGGGAATGATCACCTATGGGGAATGACCACCTATGGGGAATGACCACCTATGGAGAATGACCACCTTTGGGGAATGACCACCTATGGAGAATGATCACCTATGGGGAATGACCACCTATGAGAGGTAACAACCTATGGGGAATGACCACCCATGGGGAATGATCACCTATGGGGAATGACCACCTATTGGGAATGACCACCTATGGGGAATGACCACATGTGGGGAATGACCACCTATGGAGAATGACCACCTATGGAGAATGACCACCTAAGGAGAATGGCCATCTATGGGGAATGACCACATAATAATTATGGGGAATGCCCACCTATGGGGAATGACCACGTATGGAGATTGAGCACCTATGGGGAATGACCACCTAGAGAGAATGAACGTCTATGGGAAATGATCACTTACGGGGAATGACCACCTGGGTGGGAATGACCACTTATGGGAAATAACCACCTATGGACATTAACCCTTACGTTGTATGCGTATGTGCATGTATTTGTGTATTTGTGTGTTCGTGTGTGTGGGTGTGGGTGCGTGCTTACGTGCGTGCGTATATGTTTGTGTGCGTGCATATCTATAACAATGCTTCCCCTGCAGCTCCGGATACTCGCACAGCCGCAAGCAGAGGCGCCAGGAAGTGGAGTCCAAAGCGGAGGCCACACACGACGACCCAGTGGGAGATTCCGCTGGAGACAGGGAGCGCTCCGCAATATCGCCACCCTCTGCTGTGGCGGCTGCAAGCAATGGCTCGCCGACAACAAAGGGAAAGAAACGAGCACCAGTATCAGCTGGGAAGGTAGGGTTTAGGGAATATGAGCAAGTTTTAGCTTGTTTCTCGCCGATGACAAATGCATCTGGAAGATTGAAAGTATTGCCATTGTTGTGTAACCAGCATTGGATGCCGTTTGGCTTGGTTTGAAACACAACGGTTCATTTGGACTTCAGACTGGTGAAATCAAACTCTGTGCGTGTGTGTGTGTGTGTCGTGTGTGTGCGTGCATGTGTGTGTGTGTGTGTGCGTGCATGTGTGTGTCTGTGTGTGTCTGTGTGTGCCATTGTGTGTGCCATTGTGTGCATGCATGCTTGCTCGTGTGTACACGTGTATGCGGCGGTGATTCTAAACATGAATTCCTCAGACTGCATCCAGCAGCGGTAAGGCAAAGACACCAGGATCTGCAAAGAGCAAACCTCTCCAGAAGGATGATGTGTCTCGCTCACCAAGGAGCAGTGCAAAAGCGGCGGCATCCCCAGCAAAACCAAGCAGTGGCGCTAACAAGACGCCTAAGAAGAAGAAAGTTGAAAAGCTCCCTGCCAAGGTTATGACCCCCAGGTGTGTAATGTGGCTGTACGTGTGTATGTGTGTACGTGTATGTGTGTGTGTGTGTGTGTGTGTGTGTGTGTGTGTGTGTGTGTGTGTGTGCGTGCACGGGCGTGTGTGTGTGTGTGTGCGTACGTGCGTGTGTGTGTGTGCGTGTGTGTGTGTGTGTGTGTGTGTGCGTGTGCGTGTGTGTGTGCATATTACAGGCTAAATTCTGATGGCCAGCATTGCAAAGTGGCGCAGAGTGCGACTAGAGCTTTAAAAACAGTTCCTTTATCTCTCTGGGCCCACTATCTTCTTCACCCTTTCCTACAGGCTAAAATGGTCTTCTACGTGTGCTGTCCGGTACAGAAGAACAAACAGGCTAGACTTATACATGTGTCCTACTGTCTGTCTGTCGGTCTGTTTGTGTCTCTTGTATCGGTATGTACATGCATGTGTTTTGCTTCTCTCACCGACTGTTTGTATGCGTGTGTGTGTGTTCGTGCGGTGTCCAGGGAGCAACTGCAGCAGAGGAAACGCCTCAAAGCCGACCAGGAAGCCGGCAGACTGAAGTAAGTTGTGTAGCTGCTGCTCATTTCTCATTCTCCTCACACCACTCTGTTATGTCTATAGTTTCTGGCTTGCGTGCTCATATCTTCTCACCCCCCCCCCCACACACACACACACATACATACACACATGCGCGCACATCGGCAGGCTACCAGCACTTCAAATTGCCAGTTAGTTTGAATGCATTGTAGTAATTTGTTGGCATTTTCTGGTCTCCAGCTTATTCAGATCCGCATATATCCCGTTGACGGATATATATCTTCCAGCCTTTTCATCATTCAAAAAGCTCTAAGCACATGTACAAAAGGCCCTGCTGACCATCTGTGTGTGTGTGTGTGTGTGTGTGTGTGTGTGTGTGTGTGCGTTCGTGCGTGCGTGCGTGCATGTGTGTATGTGCATGCATGCGCGTGTGTGTGCTGTGACTACTATGTGACAACTATCCATGGATGGCGGTGTACATGACAGGGTAGAGGGTAGAAAGTACTACACTGAGCAGAAGAGGACTTACGCCGAGAACCGAAGACAGGTGAGATGAAGATCATAGTACAGTCACGCGGCATACTATAGACTGCCTGATGTTCATGACGTACTACTTGAAGTAATATTAGAATGTTGCATAATGCAAACATTAATCACGTTAACATGATAGTATTGCTGCATGTACACTGTAGTCGAAGCACGACATCCACTCAAATTGCCACAGGGGTATCCACCGCTCAGCTTGCGCTTGCCATGCTTCTACATGTACAGCTGCAGCTCATCGATCCTCTTCGGTTTTCCGCACCTTTTTGCTCTAATTCCGTAGTGCGGACGAAGGAGTGATTTGCCGTGCAAATACGGAAAAAATATGGAAGGTCGTCAGCACTGCAATCTCTATCTACCCTAGGGCCGCCGGAACCGGTCCGGTTGGTCAGGTTATCACTAGAACAACATTTTACCCACCAAGACATGTTTACTACCATGGAGGTCATGTGTACCCGCCATAACATACATAAAGTATGAAAGGCACTGAAACTACCGGACCAATCAAAAACTGCTTCCGACGGTCCTGTAGCTATTGTTTGTTTCTGAGTAACGGCGGAAAAGGACTTGGTTACGTCATGGCTGTGTGATCATTGTATTACTGGCTATGTCAACTGGTCATAGAGCACTCTATGCAGACTGAGGACCTTAGACAACTGGCTAGCTATTGTTTCTGTTGCTGTCGTGTGTCGTTTTCTAGAACAATGTCAAGCGGCCACCGCCCTGGGTTGCCGAGAATCCAGATATCTGCGAGAGCGGCACCCTCTTCTCGATCACTCACCCAGCTCCCGACGACGACGATGATGACAGTGATGCAATGTGTCCAGTCTCTCCACCACAATCACCCAGGAACCGCCATCATCCGAATGCCCCGGCGGGCAAGAAAGCTCTCTCGGCATCCGGCAACAGCAGCAGCGGCGAGCGTCAGTTTCTCAGTCAGCATGACTATGATGAAATGCCCGTCGGAGGTTCGCCGTCCCCTAGACCCTCGCAATCACGAACTCCCGACCGGGCGCAGGACCCATCCGTGAAGAAATCCCTCTTCCAGGACTCGTCCAAACCGGCTGCGCATGCTGAGAGTTCCAAGCTCCGATTCGACGGCAAAGGCGGGCAAGATCCGGGCGACATCACCTTCTCAGATTTGACCCTCGATGATGTCACCGTTGAGGGGATTTCCTCTGCCGGCATGCAGTTAGCGCAGGCAGTGTCGAGTCCGAGGGGAAGAGGTGGAGCATCGCCGCACTATGTTGATCCGACCAGCACCCATTGTGAGTTAGGGATGCAAACATGTGTATTTCGGGTGGGGGGGGGGGGTAGTCATGGTGAGTGTGGGGCAGGGTGGGGGAGAAGTGTCAGCGCACTATGTTGATCCAGCCAATACTCATTGTAAGTGAGGTATGTAGAAATGTGTGTTTTGGGCGGGTGGGGGTGGGTAATGGTGGTGGGCGGGTGGGGCAGGGACGGGGGGGGGGGGGGTTAATGGTGGTGGGCGGGTGGGGCAGGGGCGGGGGGGGGGGGGGGAGCAGGAGAGAAATGTGAGTGCACTATGTTGATCTAGCCAACACTCATTGTGTGCAAGGGATGTTCATGACACATGGGCTTGTGCTGGTGGAGAGCGTACCCATGCTTGATTGATACCACCATCCCCCCCCCCCCCCCACACACACACACACATTGCCGCAGATCCTGCATGTCTGCTTGTGTTCCTCTCGCTGGTGGTTGTGTGTAGATATACCGGAAGATCCAGACGAGGCTGATGAGCTGTACACACGGGTGAGTAAGCATACTACTACCTTGGGCAACGGCGGATACTGCTTCTCATCACGGCTGTGTTTAAAATTCTAACACTAGAGACCATTAACCCCTTAAAAGTCCAAGAAACTCTAACATTAGAGACGCGTTTAAGCATTAAAACACTCAGAAACCCATAGAAAATCTAACTCTAGAGATGCTTAACCCTCAGTGTGAGATGAGCGTGGTCTGAAGGCTTGCTGGTTGTCTGGGTTTGAGGGCTTCTTGTGCTTGTTTTGTCGTGGACGCGGAGTGCAACAGATCTCTGTTGAAGGAGATTGCTTGTTTCATAGCACAGGCACAGGCACGTGCATCATGGCACGCTACACTACTGTCGTCACGGTAGTGGTGGCGTAGTTCCTCACTGCGCCTCTGCTTTTGCCGGATTTCTGAAAGCCCGGTTTGGGTCAAATTCAGGCCCAAACCTCCACTTGGAGTTCGAAATATTTGGGCCGCTTGGAGCCTACTTCTCTCCATGGTGAACAGTGTTATGCCTCTCCTAGTTTTGTATAATCTGCCGGACCAAATTTCAAACTCCTTATCGTGTTTGACCCCTGATGACTGTGTGTGTACCCGGCTCTTCTCTTCTTTCCTACAGGAAGCTGATTTCGAGTCTGATTCGGATGGCGAGGTATGAAATAGGCTTCTCGTACCGAATACATTAGGAAGTGTAATTGCATCAAATTGGTAATTGCTGTTGCAAATACCTCAGAGTACCGGTGACCTCCATAATCGAAATGGCATTCCTTAGTCCTTAGAGAGTCTTAGTGCAAGCGGACACCATGATACTGGTGGAGGTGACGGGTGTGGCATGCACTACTGCTGCTGCTCCGGTTGCTGCTGTTGCTACTGCTGCTCCGGTTATGTACTACAGTATACTGCAATGAAATCTTCTAAGGATGGTTGCAGCCGGTTCTGTGCTCAGCACTGCTGGTCCAGGGGCGTCAGAACAGGTGTGACAGGAGTCGCACCAATAATTCAATCTTGTGATTTTGGGAGCAATACAATGCGGGCTATTTGGACCTAAATTTCCAAACAATTTCACAGGGGAGCCGAGAGCCCCGCCTCTTCATGGCCGCACCGAAGTGTGGAATATGAGTACCTTCCGACGCCTGTGTGTTCTTTGCTCTGCCGTATTGTTCTTTGGTATAGATTTCAGGCAAGCCCATCATGGCTGCGGCGGGTTCCGACGCGGACAGCATTGAAGACGAAATCACTGGCGGTAATGGCCGCGTCGGTGGTGGTGGTGGCGGTGGCAGTGATGGCGAGGAAGAAGAGGACGATGGGCGTGACGACATGGCTGCATTGGTCGATTACATGAACAACGCCCTTGAGCTAACCATGCATGCTGATGGTAAGTAACAATGTACCTTGACCAGCTCAGACCCTTGTGGTGTCTTGTCACAGAGGTCACTAAGCACACGGTTACTCTTGTGTACTTCGGATAGGTTTGTATTTGTTACGATATGTTTGCCTATGGATGTTGGTTAATTTATGTACCTGTATGTTTTTTTATGTGTGCGTGCGTGTGTGTGTGTGTGTACATACGTATGTGTGCGTATGTATATGTGTACATGTACACACATGCACGCACGCACGGACACACACACAGATGAACTGCAGAGTATGTCGGCATCGCAGCGTACGTTTCACGACCTGGATTCGTTGTCCATTTCCGACCCACAGCAGAAGATTCAGCAGCTGAGAGCGTAAGCCATCCGCCATGTTTAGTTTGAAGTACCGCATTTCCCCGATTATCAGTCACACTCGATTATAAATCGAACTTTCAGGTTTGAACCATGTTGTTTCAATATAGTCATGTGGGTAGGATGTCACACTCGATTGTAGGTCTCACCCCTTTCTTTGCCCTTTTAGTTTAGTGTAAAAAGGTGTGACTTACATGTATATTTGGGGAAATACAGCACTACCTACCCTTTTTAGTATGTGGTCATGGGCGGGCGCATGCCAGTATGTGCGTTCGAATTCCTGTAGCGTCCACAGCAGCGTGCCGTACATCTGGCCCATAGAAAGGAGATAGCGCACGTAATGCACGTGTGGGGACGTATTTGACTATTCTTGGCTTGGACACGTATGCACATATGGATGTGCGCATGCACATTGATGCATCCGTGTGCCCACGTCTGTGTGTCCCGCGCACATGTGTGTGTGTTTGTGTGTGTGCGTGTGTGTGTGTGTGTGTGTGTGTGTGTGTGTGTGTGCATGTGTGTGTATGTGCGTTTCTGTGTGTGCATGTATGCTCATGATTTCGTGTACATGTGCAGTGATTGCATTCAGGTGCTGGGCGAGGAGGACTTCGTCAAGGTCTACAAATTCCTACAGTCGGCTCACTTCGGTCCAGTGCCACTCGGCGAGGCAGAGCTGAGAGCTGGCCTGGCGAAGCTGGTGTCGTCCGTCCGTGACTGCTTCCGTGTTGAGCAGCTGATTTTCCTGGAACACGACACAACAATGAAATGAAGCTGCTGCCTGCCACGACGTGACTGACCAGCAAGATGAAATCCAGTCTCATTCTGGTCTGAGCAGCAGGTGGTGTTGTGTGGTTCATGTTAGTGGTGATCATGGATGACGAGGTTTAGTTCTTCTATCCGCGTTGTCATCCCGTGGAAGAGTGTCGCTATACACCGATGTGTTGAAGTTGTCTGTTCATCTCGCCCGCCTGCATGTGACTCGAGGCACATGCATAACCGAGCTACTGGATACATGTGACTCCAATGCAGACATGGGCGAGCAACTGGGTGCATGTGACGCCAAGTGCAGGCATAGATGATTGACTGGATGCCTGTGGCTCGAGGCACAGACTGGACGCATGGACATGCACGACCGCGATTGAGCCGCACTACTCAGTACTCTGCATGCAGACAGACTACACGGTGCTGACATCCGTAGAATCTGCATGTGCAGTATGGATTGCCGCTTGCATGCCTTGTCCGGCTATACCACTGCTGTGTGTAAGGCGCCAATCTGCCGCTACATGCATGGGGCGTCGGCCACGCTACGGTAACTACGGCATTGACCGTACCACCATTTGCCCCAGTTACCCCCGCGAATCGATAGAAATATAATGCCCTGATTTGGGCTCTAAATTTTCAAAAATTTTAGCAGAGCCCCCACCCCTCCACCTGGAGTAAACCTTAGATTGTTGACCGTACCACTCGAAAGTACATTCCGTTGCCCCTGGGTCGGGTACACAGCTCTGACTGCGGGGTTAGGACAGTGCTACGCAACTCCAACTGCGCACACCGCACTATTAGCGTAATCAAGAGTAGTAACTGTTGTAAGCTCCGAAGAGTGTGCAACTCCTGATACCCTTTCTATGGGGTTCGCCGACGGCGAATTCTCACATCACGTGGTACATGTATAGTATTGCCATTGTACATTTCCAGCCAGTTTTAGCGAGCAGTGAAGTAATAAAATTAGCACTTCCTGCACAGTAATGATAACAACAGCTAGCTGGCAGCAGCCCCAATATTTTTTTACAGTGCTTGATTTGCACCCGATTTACCTTCATTCTGACACCTTTCTAGAAGTATTTGAAGTATACCGATGCATCACCTGTTTCCTGGGACAAATTTCCTGCATGGCCCGGGCACCGGCGATGCCATCAGATCTGAGTCCTCACTCATGCACCCCTTGCCCAGTCAACATAGCCACGGAAACTGCTAGAAGGATCTCGAATGTTTCAGCCCTACACTGGCCATTGTCGGTAAACAGTCTGAACAAGCGACCAAGAGCCCATTGAACAACTCAAAGCCCGTCTGGTGAAGACAAGCCACAGATGCATGCACTATCGGTGTATTGAATACAGCAGGCTTGTACGGAGTCTCTTCGGCTTCTAGGGAGATGTGTGGACAGCGCTTGGTTTTCTCTGTGTGTGTGTGTCTCTGTGCCTCTCTCTCTCTCTCTGTGCCTCTCTCTGTGCCTCTCTCTCTCTCTCTCTCTCTCTCTCTCTCTCTCTCTCTCTCTCTCTCTCTCTCTCTCTCTCTCTCTCTCTCTCTCTCTCTCTCTCTCTCTCTCTCTCTCTCTCTCTCTCTCTCTCTCTCTCTCTCTCTCTCCGCTCTACCTTTCGACAGGCCCTTGTGTATGTTTCACGAAGTGTTTTGTAATAATGGTGACTACCAAGACGACAGCAACGAGGAAAAGAGCAAAACACTTTACAGATAACTTGGCTGTACATAGACCCAAAAAGTGAAACGGCACGAAATAGCAAGTCAACTGCTTAAGGAAACGTGATGTTGAAGCAGGCAGCAATGTGCACGTTAATACACATTTCGCTTGAAATGAAGTTGGCCAACGTGCACCCTATGACTGGCCTATGTACACTGACACACACACACACACACACACACACACACACACACACACACACACATGCACACACACACACACACACATTGAAAGCGAGCAAATTGGATTGAGTTAAGCGCAATTTGTGCAAAATAAAATAAAATCTGCAAAATGTACATTAGTGGCATCGGCAGCAGGGAGAAAAAGCTGATATTTCGTTAAAAGCACGTATTCCCTTTTCTCAACTAATATTTGTACAGCGATGGCGTTACTGTTAGTGCGGAGCGGTTGACTGGAGCTACTCAGAGGGCGCTGGCCATCTCGAGATCATGCTCCCGGCGGTATAACATACCAGCTCCGAGTACAGCATCATAAGAGCTGGCAACAGAACGACCAAGCACTATTAACCAGCAGCGACGAGAAAGCGGTGGTGGTGGCGATAGATGAGGCGGCATTCATCAATGGATCACTCAAGCACCACTGCGTTGCCGACACACGAATACATCACTTTCTCAAGTTGTAGTTGCTAGGAACACGGGTAGCAGGCAGCAGCAGTATGATCACCACAATCAGTACAAACTCCACTTACAGCATTGCCCGCAGGCATATGCCCCCACGCCAGGGTAACAATCAGCTGCGAAGGGCTATTGCCGAGCAACATCATCGGCAAGTCGGGTAGCGTCGACACAACTATGAGATCTTCATGCCGAGCTGCTTGCGTTGCAGCTGCTCCTGTTGCCGCTTCTGCTCCTGCTGCTGACGGCGCTGGTCACGCTCCAGCTGTCGCCGCTGTCGCTCCACCTCGCGCTTCTGCTTCTTGGCCTCGGCACTGATGGCCTCCGCTTCGGAGTCGTCCAGAACGTCTTCATCCCATGCCGACGTGGGGCCCCCTTCCTCGTCATCATCCCACGCCTCCAGCTCGGCCTACACACGGGAACAGCGAGAACAATGGCGATGAAACAGATCGAATAGCAACTCACCAAGCGAACAAAAGACAAACGCAAAAGGAAAGCGCCGGCCACCTGGCCATAGAGGCTACGCGACTACATCGTCAGTCGAGATGATGCTTTGGCGAAGTCGAGGCACAGCGACGCTGCACTTCACTAGCGACTCGCATACACAAGAGTCCATAAACGATTCCGCTGACTCACCCCGTTGAAATCATTGACATAACCTCTAGCATACTAACAAGAAGGACACACTTCAGGCTCTTCAACAACGTGAAAGTTTTGACTAGCATACTTTCAAGCCTTATAGTCAGTAACCGCTCTAAGGAGGACATCATAATAAGAAAATTCAGTGATCAGTGGAGCAAAAGTCCACAGCTAGATCACGTACCGGTGGTGGTGTTGGATCTTGGAAGGCAAAACGATTTGCCTGTGCGGATGATGCACCGCCGCCATTCCGTGACTTCACACGCAGTTTCTGCTACAGAGCAGAACGGACAGACGAGACAGGAGAAACAAAACTTTTCTAAGGATTCGTAAACTCCACTGTAGCCATTTACAAATTGCTTTTCTTGGGATAAAAGTTCATAAAAAAAGAAGCGCATGAGAGAACATACACATACTAGTACACATGTACACCACCAAACTCCTTTATTCACTTCAGTGGCTGGGCATAAGTGGATTTCGTAGGGGGAAAAAGAAGAATAAAAACACAACACAACATGCACGCACACGCGTGCGCACACAACAACAACACACGCACGCACACACACACACACACACACACACACACACACAAAAGGTACCTGCGCAGCCTTCTGAATGACTGGCTCCATATCTGTGAAGAAGTCGACATCTGGTTCGGGTTCCGGCTCTGGAGGCGGCTTCGCTTTGCTCGAGTAAACCTTGGCCTCTGCTTCTGATTTCTGACCTGCGAGCCACAAACAAACATACAAACGATATACATTGTACAGTAAAACCTGTCATAAAAGATCACCTGCCTTTAGAGACCCCTGCCTTTAGAGACCCCTGCCTTTAGAGACCCCTGCCTTTAGAGACCCCTGCCTTTAGAGACCCCTGCCTTTAGAGACCCCTGCCTTTAGAGACCCCTGCCTTTAGAGACCACCTATCCTTAGAGACCACCCATCCTTAGACACTCCCTGCCTTTAGAGACCACCTATCTTTAGAGACCCCTGCCTTTAGAGACCACCTATCTTTAGAGACCCCCCTGCCTTTAGAGATCGCTTGACTTTGAAACTGCCTGTCTTTACACAGATGCTGAGATCGTGAGACAAGGATAAATTCTAGCAATAGTTGGTGGATGCAAAACCCGTGCCACAGTGCTCTTCGTGCTCTTCTCTTTGTTCCTCGAAACGGATTCTACTCGTTCCAGTCCAAGATTTCGTCTACGGAGCTCGCGAATCACTCTGCACCAGCGGACACAGCTCTTCATCGCATATCTTGGAAGAACACAATGTCTAATGGGAAACTCCATCGGGAAAGCTAATGCACGTAGGATCAATTGCACAGGTCATCCAACGGGGCCTGGGTAGAAAACAACCAGTTCCGTGCATCTACTAAGGTCTAAATAAGAAAGTTGCAGAATGGCTCACACCACGCAGTGGTTGACAACTATCCTGGATTATATAAAGAATGTGATGTCGAACATATCAACGTGTTTGGCCTAGTCTGACAGCTTCTTGAAGTGAAGAGTTAGGCAACTACTGTAAGACATGTTAATATAACGAGTCGCAAATTTAACGATTGTCCAAAATTCATAGGTTAACGAGAAGATATGTTAACGATCTTGCAGTATTCTGCCATATCCACACACAGCATATATGAAGCAGTACGGCTTCAACAGATCTTATTATAACGAAGAAATGTCGTCCGTTAAAACGTTAGATCTGCTTCCTCGTTATATATACATGTCTTACAGTAGGCCAAACACGGTGATAATATAGAGACAGAGCATTGTGAAATATACTAGTAAGTACAGTCCATTCAGAAAAAAATGAACTTCTAGCTTTTGGCCATAAATGGGTCAAACGTTGAGTTTTTTTAGAATTTTTTTCTGCAATCCTCTATGGAATCCTCTTCCAATTATGTTTCTGAAGTTTTTTTCTCCAAAAAGCAAGCCATAACAAGAATAGGATTTCGGCCAGGTTTTGCCCCCAAAGCATTGAATTGGGAAAAACCATAAAAATCCAGGCCGTTTGACCCCGTCTGCAACAGTGCAGTGTGCGGTTCGAACCCCAGTTCAGGTACCTTTTTTGAACCCTTTTTCAAATTTCAAATTTCGCAGCACTGCACTGTGTACGATGAAATCACGAAAAATCGCCAAATACGGGAGCTCGCCAGAGCCAGAGCCCATCTTTTTATGAATGGACTGTAGAGTAACTCTTTGTTGCCATCTTCAATAGGTCCGTCAAATAGTAGTAATAGGTTTTTTCATTTGACCCGACGAGACCACATGACGCTTGCAGATCACAGCACGAACAGTTCACCAGCCACACTCCACGAAATCAAGTAGTAGTAGTACTCCTGACAAGTCTTGTTTCGTTCCATAGAGATATAACGGGAAACTCATCAGAGGAGAAGCAGTTGCTGAATGAAGGGGTTTAGCTGAATAATGCTATTTTATAGAGAAGATACAGGCGAAAATGAAAAAAAACCTATTCCTAGTAAGTAGAGCACCGTTTTCCAATGACCGGAGTGTAGTATGCTCAACCTAGGCTACTGTAAATCCACAAATTTTCGGTGTACTTTTATCTTCGGTACTTTCGGTGCATCTGTTCCATACCTAAAATGGCAATACGCCGAACAAACACTAACACGCATAATCCAATACTGGCAATAGGGAACTGCTTCTCTGTACCTAGAATTTCTGTTCACCTAACCTGGCCTTTAGCCCTCGTACCGGCAATATTGAGCAACGAAAAATTCTGAAATTAGAGTACATGTAACTGAAGATTCACACCAGGTCTACACTCACCTGTCACCTCAATGGAGAAAGGCTCTTGATTATCCCATGAACCCCAGTCACCTCCATCCTACAGCAACCAACGCATCACGGAACAAACATACCAACGTGTGCAACACACACACACACACACACACACACACACACACACACACAGTAACACACATACACATACACACACAGTAACACACAGTAACACACACAGACACACACACACACAAACACTTAAACATACAGAATAGCAACTACACAGTTCGGGCAGGGCCAGACTCGTCGGTCTAAGGCGGCTGGATAACGTGCGCGTCTTACAACACAAAACTAGAGAGCTATCACTCAGGGCCCTCGTTCGCTGTGGCCGTGTTACGTGTACGATGGTTAGGGACATATACGAGATACCGCCGCCAGTCGCCGCCCGTCACAACACGGTCGAGTTGTAACTACAGTCCATTTCAAAACTATAGACGCGTAGGGTTTTTGAAATATTTCAAATTTGGCTGGAGCTTTTTGAGAATAGTTTTCGGAATATTGCTCAGGTCCGCTCCACAATTACTCTCATATAGTTTCTAAACGATTGGATAACAGACACCCGATTTGGAAAAATTTATGCACAAAGTGATCACAGATTTTATGTGGTATAGATGCTGGCAGAACGGTTTTTGCCTAGGTACGCGTCTATAGTTTTGAAATGGACTGTACGTAAGTATATTATGTGCAAGTAAAAAATAAATAAAGTAGAACCAGCCAGCTTATAGTACATGCTACTCCGCACTACATGTATATGCAAGCATCACCAGCCTGTCCATACGCGACAGGGTATGAAAGTGAAGAAGTCGAAAGTCAACAAATAAAGACTTCTGAGCCAAGCATGTGTAGTTGGGTCCGCTCTGACCATATCGATATACAGTCCCGTATTTCAGGTGTGCAAGAATGGACTCGGATGGAGAGCCAAGGATAACTTTATAGCATTATAGCGTAGCTTGTAGTTCATTTTCTTTTCTATAAACCGAGTATAAGGCCAAGTAAAAGTAATAATTATTGATTGTTGATCGTCAGCGCCCGCCCCGATTTTTCAGTCCGTCCCGGGATTTATTTTATTTTTTTATTTTCGTGATCAACGGTAGAAAACCCGTGTGTTTAGCGAAACGCGAACCTTTTTTTAGCAGTACGCGCGTGCGCGAGCTCTCATGTACAGTTTCAACGTGCTTTTACCGTAGCGACATCACGCAGTGCAGTGTGATTCCAGTGTACTTGTGTGAAATCTGGCAACTACAATACATGGCACTGTAGTCTGTACAGTGTACCACCTGATATCTACGCCTGCATTCATGGAAACTATGTGTACTCATGCACGCGAGTGTATGTGTGTGTGTGTGTGTGTGTGTGTGTGTGTGTGTGTGTGTGCGTGCGTGCGTGCGTGTGTGTGTGTGTAAAATGAAAAAGACCAAAAAGTAGGGATTCACTGGCCAGAAAAAGCCACTTCATAGCTGTGTGGTGTAGACCAGGCTGAATAGTGGCGGTCAATTCTTCAGCCTTGCAAGCTGTTGAATGGTGCAATCCCAGCACAAGCTGCTATGGCTTCTGCTGTAGCATCGCTATCATCGCCTCCGGCGATGGGCGTCCAATGGTCCAAGGGTCCAATGGTGTGTGTGTGTGTGTGTGTGTGTGTGTGTGTGTGTGTGTGTGTGTGTGTGTGTGTGTGTGTGTGTGTGTGTGTGTGGTGTGTGTGTGGTGTGTGTGTGTGTCTGCCGCATGGCAGCAGGAAATTATATCACAGAGTCATCTGCACATGTTCAAAGTGTTTGGAATGTGCCCAGGCAGACTGGTAGCAGTCACAACCAACAATGGTAGTACACCCATAACCCCATAGACGTAATACATGCTAAGATTTCAAGATGTCCGGTCGATGCAGATATAAAAAAAGTTATAAAATAAAAATAAAACCCTCCCGTCCGCCCGATTTTTCGGAAAATTCTGACGATCAACAATCTTTTTTTTTACTTGGCCTAAAGTACCGTATTTCCCCGATAACAAGTCGCACTTGATAAAACACCGCACCCTCATTTTCATATTTATTCCCGTAGCTATGCAGAAGACGTTACTTCAGTAACGTCTGGCGCTAGCCAGGGTCCACACAGCTTTAATTTGGTGTTTGTTTGTTTGTGTCACGCCTGGCGCTATCCCGTATCTGTCCCGTACCGTACCGTACCATCAAACACAGCTGGCCATATGCAGCTGGCCGCAATATTCAAATAGGGCTTTCAAACGCAAGATCATAACGTGAAGCAACTTGGAAGAATGAGTATGAATGCGAAGTGTATGAGGGAATGCATGTAGGGCGATAGTGCGGGTTCGAATCCCAGGTTATGCCTGAAAAAATAGGAGAATTGAAAAATTTATAACATCCCTATGCTTTTTTTGCCTATGTCATCAATGCGGTAGACGGTGTCGTATTACCTCAACCGTACCTGTACCGTACCGGACTATCAAAGACGGCTGGCCACAATGCATATTCAAATAGGGCTTTCAAATGAAAGATCATAACGTGAAGCAACTTGGAAGAATTAGTATGTATGTATGCGAAGTGTATCGGGGGATGCATGCAGGGCGATAGTGCGGGTTCGAATCCCAGGTTATGTCTTTAAAAAAATGAGAAATTTATAAGAATTTATAACATCCCTATGCTTTTTTTGGTCTAGGTCATCAAGGCAAAAAAGCATAGCGTAGGGCCCTGAGCTTCCAAGCTCTCTCGTTTTCAGCTGTATTGTTTCAATACGCTTAGTAGCAAGAGTACACAACCGATTCTCAAGCTCTGAACAAACAGGCTAGAATTTTACCAGTTGCAGGATGCCCTCATGTGCACGGTGGATCAACTATGTTCTAAATGTACATACAAAAATTAGAACGCCCTGGTCCTGGGCTACGACTCTTCGGGAACTTGACAGCACTCTATTAAGCGGCGCGGAGACAATAACTTTATTGATTTAGCTTCGCTGATTCTGCTTATTGCTACAGTAAAGTACTCTATTAACGGGTATGCAGCTAGTGAAGTGAAAATTCTATTAGAAAATTTGAAATTTCGCCGAAAGCCCTTGGAAATATTTCATGTTTTATGTGTCTGGTCTGTACTGGGGGAAGTCTGCCCATTGCAATAATTTATTTTCTATCAAATCATGACTCATGTACATGTTTATGCATACTACTAGTGCGACTACTGTAGACACTGACAGCAAGCTGGTAAACTAGTAAACATTTCAAGATTACCTCATTCGCATCTTCCTCGCCACCACCACCAGCTGAAGACCCTCCAGATAATGCGGTTTTGGACGATGTCGGAAACAAGTCCGCGCCCGTGGACGACGAACCCTTGATGCCCAGGATCCGCTTCAGACGTGTCACAAATTTACAGATCAGTGAGATGAGGAACACTTTGTAGAGCAGTGCACGCAACGCACGCAGCATGGCTGTAATGCTCATTGGAGACAGGACTGCATGGTAAATTCAAGGTCTACAAATACCTTTTGCAAGGCTTAGGTGCAACCTGGATCGGAAACTGAGGACTGGTGTAGAAAGTTTTCACTTCCCAGCTTTGTAAACAAAACTCAAAGTGTAAACAGAAACGTGTACGATCGTACGAGCAAGCAAGTCGATCGAGCTGCACAAACTGTGACAAAGCACGATTTTTAATTTTTCGACTTTCGATTTTCACGACTTCACACTCGACACGCAGCCCGCGGCCGCGCGCGCCCAGCAAGGACGTGACGTCGTTTTCAAGTCCGTTTAGATGAATTGCGTCATCATCACATCATCGAAGAAAATGGCGCCAGAATTATTGCACTTCGCAAGGAAACAAACGACGCAACCCCCGTCACGTCATACCATTTTTTTATCGACGAAGGCCAGTCTTGCATAGTTTGTTGTTTGCTATATAAAAGGCACTCTGACCTTCAACGTATTCTATCTGCTAAACGTTTTTCAGACATCGTTGCCCTGCATTATCTCCGCCCGACTGCACATAGCTTCGCTACCAATTGCTGCTCCTGACCCTGCATACCGTGTTGCAAATCCTAGTATCTATTTTATTATTCCAAAGACTACAGTTCTATATTATTATTCTCAAGCAATATTCTCACCATGGCTGCTATTATATCTAACAATACTCAAGGCAAGCCAGCGTGGGGCGGCTGGAAGCCTGTAACTACTCCAGCCCCGGCATCTCTAGCTGTGCTAATGGACGAGGAAGTAGCAAAGGAGCTCCATCGCGAGGAGACCTTCCTCGTAGCTGGTCCAGAACCGTCAGTACAATGTAAGTACATGTAATGCTGTAGAGGTAGTGAAACTCGGGAGCGAAGTGTCCGTTGAATTCCTGCTGTCCTGTTGAACGGAGGGAGAGGAAGAGTCGGCTGTGTGTCCTGTGCACTTTGAAGTACAGTAGCGTGCTGGCAAGTTTGTGTCAAACGCTCTTTCTCTCTCTCATTGCTCAATGTAAAGTAAAAAAGGGGTTCATTGTTTGTTGCTCTTACATTTCTGGAGAGTGTATGTATCTGCAAACGGCCCTTCTTGAACCTGGTACATGTACTAGTAACTGGCGTTCGTCTTCCTTTCGGGCAAGTGGTTTTATCTCCTCTCTTGTGCTGTCATTGTCCTGACGTTAGACTGTCTGTATCATTACGTCATATGTTATACCAATGACGTACTGTTGTGAATACTTTCCACAATTGGGGAAGGGGTGTGTGCACGTGTAGTTATAGGTAGTGGCAAGAGTACATAACCCCCCAGAGTGTGCAACTCCACTATGGGTGCTGTCCCGACAGAATTTCAAGTTGACGTCATTTTGATGATGCAATGCGCACTGTACACGGATTATCAGACGAATCCGGAACCTGTGGTTGACCGAAGCCGATTGATCCTGTACAAATTATTGCAAAGAAAAACGTGTGATGCGTTGACACCCGTACACATGTTGTAAATCACTGCTGCAAGGAGCATTGCGTCATAAATAATGACGTCAACTTGAAATTCTGTCGGGACAACAGGGTATGTGGGAGTTGCACACTCTGGGGGGTTATGTACTCTTGGTAGTGGGGTGTGTGTCTTTGCGCGTAACATGTGCTTTCAGCCGTTGTTGTCGAATGCTCACAAGGGACTACAGCCATACACATCTTCACAACACTCCAAGATGGGCCTTGCCCGGATATTCGGATGATTATAATTATGATTAATCATCCGAATATAAATTTTATATCTTTTTCTTTCAGTGATTGTTGTAGGCCAGGCCGTTCTGTTTGGAGTGTTGTGTGAAGATATACCTTATCCTACACAGTTACAAGGGCCTGATCGGAGCATCATGCCCGACGTAACTGTGTAGGATTGCGGTTCAGACAAGGCCCACATCACAACCAACTCTGGTCACGACCAGCATGGTTGGATTTTCAGTTTCGAGTAGAAAGTAACAGATGTTTTTGAAGTTCACAGCATGCAACAGTCTTTGCACATTGAGAACCTAGAGAAGGTGTTTGTTGTTCTTGTGTGTGTCATTGCAGCGGAGCCTATTCCAGTAGCCGTGGCGGTGGCTGCACCAGTTGAGACAAACAGCGATGAACAGATCGCCGCTCAGCTGCAGGAGCAGTTTGACCGCGAGCACGATGAAGAGCTTCGCAAGCTCGAAAAGCACATGAACGGCAAGAGCAGTGGTGAGTGCACTGTGTGTGTGTATGTGTACGTGTGTGTGTGTGTGGCCGAGGCTGGTTGGTAAAGTAACTCCAATTTCACTTCAAGGTACCAGTGCATCTAGTGTCTGCTTCTATCAAAGCAGCATGCTGTCTATACTGGTTACCCCAGCAAGTGTAGGGTGTGCATAGGTAACTGTCTTGGCCGTTTTATGCCGATGTACTCCGTGTGGTGTAGACCAGGTGTGCATTGGTGGTCGATTCACATGGCTTCGCCAGTTGTTTGGATTAGACAGTTATCTGGCGCAAGTCTTGATCTGTCTCATTCAGATCTTGTTCGCTACCGTTGCTATAAGAGAAAATCTGTGGGTGCACATCCAGTGCATTTGCAGATTTGCGTGCTTCTCTTGCGACGGGCGTATACATGGTCCATGATGTGTGTGTGTGTGTGTGTGTGAGTGCAGTGTTTGTGTGTGTGCGTGTCTGTCTGTCTGTCTGAAATCCAGTCATGTCACTCACGTATGCGCCTGGTGTTGCGCAGTCCTAGACCTGCGAACACTTGGCTGTGAAATGGTGCAAGGCTTGAACTTGAGTGAAGTGACTGGATTTCATTGCACAGGACTGTACTTGTCCAGAAAGCGCGCTCGCAGAGTTGCATGTTTCTTGTATGTCGACCAGTGCACGATTGTGTTTTGTATTTTACAGGGCTGCGGCGGTACGAGCATGTGCGTGTGTGTGTGTGTGTGTGTGTGTGTGTGTGTGTGTGTGTGTGTGTGTGTGTGTAAAAGCCGGACAGTTCAAGGTGAAGTGACAACCGTTTTTACCACTTTTGTGTGCCCGTGTTATATTTTGTGTGTGTGTGTGTGTGTTTGCTTCAGTCACAATCTCCTTGAGCAATTTCAACCGCTCTCATTATTCGCAATCAAGCGGCAGTGCTGAGGACGATGATGAGGATGACGAGGAGGATATGCCCATGCCAGTACAAGGTATGTTCTAGCCAGCCCATTGGCATCTGCTTCATTGAATGACATGACATTCCTGTATTTGCGCTCGTGTGTGTGTGTGTTTGTGCTCGTGTGTGTGTGTTTGTGCCCATGTGCATGTGTGTGTATGTGTGGTCGAAAAGCCATCCCGGGAACTGCGTATAGTATGGTATAGACCGAGCTAATATGTGTAGCCTAGGTGTATTTCTGTGCCTTGTGACCGGCTTCTTCATTTATACAGCATAGGTTTTTGTTTTCCGTCTGGCTCACCTTACCAACGCCTTTTGGCGACGGCCATGCGCGTGTTGTGCTGTTCGTGTGCCAGCACTGTCATCATTGTAACCTGTGATGTGTCTTCTCTGTATTTGGTGCCATGGCGCGCACAGCCCGTACGTCCCCCAATAGCGGAGGAGGAGGCGGTGGCGGGGGTCCCGGTCGTCGTCGGAGACCCCATGGCGGTGCGTCCGTCCCAACAAAACACGACCCGGTTATCTCCGGACGACGAAATGCCCGAGCAGCCGAAGAACGGGTGAGTTGCCTGCTTGTGTTGTTACTGAGGTCTGTGTGCATGTGTGTATGGGTATGGTAATGGTAACGGCCGCTGAACAACAAAACAGGAATGCGTACAAGGCATAGTGATCCTCCTTGCACAACGCATTGAGTGTGTGTTCTAAATTCGTCAGGTTGATTTTTTCGTTTGCCGCTGTTGTGAATACCAAAGCTGCTCTGTGAAGCTTTGCGCTCTTCCTGCTAAGCTTCCTTTGATAGTGTTCCCGGCAACGTATCCATGTCACTCTGGTAGAGTGTTGGTTTTATGCCTGCACTCTTGAGGAGGGCGGTCATCATTGACAGTGTGGGTGATGGTGACCATGTGCTGTCTCTGTGTGTCCTTGTGTGGCTGACATTGATTGTGCATGTACTGTCTCTGTGTGTCTCTGTTACAGCTTCCTCCCAGTATGGCTGTCGGCACACTGGTTGCCAGCGACGGAACGTCCATGAAGATCGATAACCGTACCTATAACGGCCTCGTCAAGTTCTCGCAGCAGGGCGGTCGCAAGTCGGCACGCGTACGCGAAACACGCGACCACTCCACAATGGTACGTCAGTTTTTATTGTCTGCTCCTTGTTGTCGATGTGAATCTCTGTGTGATTCGTGTAACTAGGATATACCGGCTCCTCAAAGCACTAGGTCGTGTTCGCCACCCCTTTCAGCCTACCAGGCTGTTACATGGCAAAATCCCAGCGTGGGTTGTGCAGCTCTCTCTCTCTCTTCTTGTCTGTGTGTGTACTACCAACTTGTTGGAAGGCCACCTTCCTGCCAAAGCATTGCACTTATACATTGTGCGTGCGTGTGTGTGTGTGTTTCTCGTTTCTACCACTGTAGAGTCATAACCTGGATGCTAAAACTGTTGGCCTTATCAAGAAAATGGTGAACAATGGTCGTATCTCAGAGATGGGAGGTCTCATCAGCCAGGGCAAAGAGGCGACGGTTTACCATGCCTTTGGGCCAAAGTATGTCTCTCCTCGCTCTGTCTCTCTCTCTATCTCTCACACACACACACACACACACAAGCACGCACGCATACTCTCCTCGTCAAGGATGCTTAGCTGACACTGATCCTGTGTGAAGAGAATCCTGACTCCTGCAAAATACTTTTATATTCTACGATGCATGGAGATGGAACAATTACTCTGAATATTTGACTAGCTACCTGCTCAATTTCTTGAAAGATAGTCTTACACTCTCCTAATGTGTGTGTGTGTGGTGTGTACTCAGTGAGGAGGACGAGGAGTTTGACGACATGCTCAGTGACGGAGAGTCGCTTCCAGAGCGGCCGAAGAACAGCGCACAGCCCTCGCTGCCCGAGTATGCGGTAAAAGTCTTCAAGACCACCCTGGCTGAATTCAAAACTCGCGGCATCTACATCCAAGATGATATGCGCTTCAAGGACCGACTGAAGTCGCAGAACTCGCGCACCATCATGCACATCTGGGCTGAGAAGGAAATGCGCAATTTGCAACGGTGAGAACTTGTCCCTGTCTCCTAACGTTGCTTCTCTGCCGGTTTTGCGGTGTCTTGTTTAGCCAGTGTGTGTGTGCGCACTCACGCGCGCGTGTGTGTTTGATTCCTGTCCCTCGTCTTCACGTTGTACTGGCTTTGGTGTGCTGCTCTGTGAGGTGTGTTTGATTCCTTGTACAGTGTTACAGTGTAGCGTTTCTGCACAGCTGCCTGATCTATATTTAATATAGCTCTTTCTTGTGTTCTGTTATGCCTGTTCACTCTCTTACTACAGCCTGCAGAAGGCTGTTTTACCGTGCCCAGAGCCCATCTTCCTGAATAATCACATTCTGGTGATGACGTTCATTGGGCGTGATGGTGTGCACGCTCCCCAGCTGCGTGACGCCCGGCTTACTGCTCAACAGATGCAGCGTGCCTACGAACAGAGCCTGGTGGTGAGTGCACACATACACACACACACACCTGGAAGGTGAAATGGCTACTCCGTCTCTGTCTCTCTCTCTGTCTGTCTTGCTCTCGCTCTCTCTCTCTCTCTCTCTCTCTCTCTCTCTGTCTTGCTCTCGCTCTCTCGGCCCGGTCAGAGGGCTTTGGGTCCAGTTTCAATGTGAGATGCATTGTAGATTCAGGCTGTTGCTGTTTGAGTAATGTAACGTTGGGTGGTGGTGTTTCTCCCTTGTGTTCTTCTTCTGCTGTGCAGCTTCTAACACGTATGTACAAGGAGTGCAAGCTGGTGCATGCCGACTTCTCACCGTTCAACCTACTGTGGCATGAGCAGCGCCTGTTTGTAATTGACGTATCACAGTCGGTGGAGCCATGGCATCAGGACGCCATGCGATTCCTGTACCGCGACGTCGAGAACCTGCTGGATTACTTCCGCAAGATGGGCGTGCGCGGTGTGGCCACGATACCCGAGGTCATCCAGCACGTCACTGGCTTCCATATTAGCTCCTCGCTCAGCGAGAAGCAGTATATCGAAGAGGTGGGTTGCGTGGTGTTTCTCTTCTGCTGCTGCTGCTTGCATGACAGACATGTCTGACTGTGACAGTTAGCTGCGAGTTCCCCTCGTAACCCCGTTTAGCTTTGTATAGTGTAGTATGTCGAGGAGGTGGGTTGAGTGGTGTTTCCTTCGCTGATGCACATCTTCTCGCTAAGAAACACGTCTGATTGTGACAGTTAGCTGAGAGTTCCCCTCGTAACCTCATCTAGCTTGTATGGTGCAATTGCTACTCTCAGTTTCAGTTACCTAGGTCCGCTGTTTTCTTGATCGTCCTCTGGCTGGTTTTTACAGCCCGGCGGAGAGAAAGAAAAAGCCTTGAACTCGACCTTGACCTTGCTATCACCAGCGGGTTCCCAACACAAGCTTGGCAAGATCATAAGAAGTCTGGTGTATGCCCAGCCCTCATGCAGAGCCCCTGTTTTTCTTGTCCCCTGTTTCTGTTTGACAGTTGTGCCTGACGTGTCGTCCTGTTCCTTGCTATTGGGTGTTGTCATTGTGTGTTGCTGTTTGCAGTTGTGTGTCCTGTGTTCTTTGCCATGTTCCTGTATAGATGATATGCCAAATAACGCGCAACTAGACTTGAGAGGGCATTGTAGAGTAGTTGCATACAAAGTTCAAAGTTGTACGGTTACCTGTGACTTGTGCTCCTGCAGAGCTCAGGTCCTGCCGTGTACACATTGTAGTATTGTATGGAACTGGTGTGCAATGCCCTCCCAAGTCTAGATGCGTGTTATTAGGCATATCATCTATTGTGTTTGCTGTTTGCAGTTCTGTCGCATAGCCCGATGTGTCTTGTGTTCGGTCCTACTGTGTGTTTGCTGTTTGCACAGTTATGCCGCAGGGCCGACCAGACCAACCGTGGCAAGCGCGGCGGGGCTCAGCATGGCTCGTCGCCACCGGAGGAGTCCTTCACTGACATGTACGAGCGTGCCGTCATTGAGAACGCACGCACACGCGCCGAGAAGGAAGCACGTGCTGCGCTGGAGTGCGACGACGGCGAAGATGACGATACCGAGGAGTCATCCTCCACTTCAGCTCAGCACGATGAGTAATCTACTAGTGTGATGACGGTGAAGATGATGACGATGCTGAGGACTCGTGCCGCTCCCCACGATGTGTAATCTACTCGAGTGTGATGTCATCTGCTGCTATAATCTACTAGAGTGTGATGTCATCTGCTGCTGTTCACCACGATGTGTAATCTACTAGAGTGTGATGGCGGTGAAGATGATCCCGCTGCAGCTCGGCACGATGGGTAATCTATTACAAGCATGTGGTGACGATACTAAGAAGTCATCCGCTGCGGCTCAGCATGATTTGTAATCTTGTAATGCTGTTTTCCTGTTTTTTTCCAAATCAATGTCAACGACCCGAACCTACCAGTCAGCAGCGCACTGTGTCTCCAATACTACTTAGCTAGTGTTCTAGTGTAGTGAGCATGTCTTGTCTGTTCCTTACTCGCCCACACTCCTGTAGGAACTACAGTATGCATTTTTTGCTAACATACCATACCCTCAGTCTTTTCATGAACATCATATAAATAGGCTGTGTTTTATCCCGTCCTGTTGATATGGGCTGTGTTTTCGTCATACACCGTCACAGGGCAGTGTGAATTGAACTAAACTTTGACGTTTGTTTTGCAATTACGTTGATGGACTGGTGTGCCCACATTGGCCCGGGAAATTATCCAGTTCTACCTGGACGGGGAGTAAGGCGACTCACATTGCCCTGGGACATTTTTCGGTTTCACCAAGACCAGGAGGGAGTATGTCCGGCCCGAAAAATAAATTGCTGATTACCACCACCCCAAAATTGATCAGGGATCGACCCGAAACTCGGCCTCTCTGGGTGTACAGCGGATACTGCCGCCCGCCCCTTTCCCCGCCTCAATGAAGGGCATATCACATGTCCATCCTTCAGCTCGTAGCCAGCGCACAGCAGAATTTGGAAATTCATGAAAATTCCGATACGGCAGAAAAAGGATGTAGTATAGCGCAATAACGAACATACATGGAGATCGAGTAGTGTAGCACGATACATATTGAATGCACAGCCAGCCATGCACTCTATCTGTGAAAAAGTCATTGGGGTTATAATTTCGGTTGACGAGACGTACAATGTACATGTAGGAGATAAAACGCCAGCAAGCAGAAATAAATCTTGGCGGAGCAAAACTCAACGTGATGTGGCAAAACGCCTTCCGGTAGCAACAAGAGCACATGAAACCTATTTCCATGTTCAATGACTTGATGGGTAGAAATAAAGACATTGGACACAACTGGGTAGGTTCAGGGAGGGGGGGGGGGGGGGGGGAAGCCCAGGTGCTGAACAAGCAGGGCAAGAATCTCACCACTGAGTAGCGTACAGCGTGTGTGTGTGGGGGGGGGGGGAACAGTGCTGAACAAGCAGGGCAAGAATCTCACCACTGAGTAGCGTACAGCGTGTGTGTGTGGGGGGGGGGGGGGGACAGTGCTGAACAAGCAGGGCAAGAATCTCACCACTGAGTAGCGTACAGCGTGTGTGTGTGGGCGGGGGACAGTGCTGAACAAGCAGGGCAAGAATCTCACCACTGAGTAGCGTACAGCGTGTGTGTGTGTGTGGGCGGGGGGGGGGGGGGGGGACAGTGCTGAACAAGCAGGGCAAGAATCTCACCACAGTAGTGGGGGGGGGGGGCATGCTGAACAAGAAAACTGGAAACTTAACTACATGTACTAAGATGCAGCATGTGAGACGAGGTGAGATGCCTGACAAACATGCTGGAGCTGCACACGTATTGCTACCATGGTTACATGCTACTCACGGGGACATGGCATACGGACGATGACAAGGTGTGTGTACAAGGTGCGTGCGTGTGTGTGCGCGCTGGTAAACTATACACTTACACGTTGAGTTTGAGGGCGGACAGACAGGACGAGAGCAACTCCATGCTATGGTACACAATACTACTGCCGCAGCAGCAGCAGCAGCAGCAGCAGCAGCGGCAGCAGCAGCGGCAGCAGCAGCAGCGGCACGGCCCCGGAGCTTGTGTTCTACAGGGGCCGAGTACTAGTAGAGCAGAGCGACCAGGACCAGACACGTGAATATACACTATTGCATTGCATGGCTGGTTGGCGTGTTGTCAGCGGGTCCTCCCACACAGTGCGAGGAGACAGGCAGCACTTGGACATAAATGGAGTGTACAGATTGGTGCAATCCCCATCACAACTAACGCCACATCCCGCAGCAGCAGCACCCCCGCTGGCGATGGGCAAATGCAGGCAAACTACTAGTATAACCGAGCTGCAGATGCTTGACTCATTGACAACAAGACGGAAGCGACATCATCACCACCACTACCACCACGAAGACTGGTAGCAGCATCTACTGCGTGCAGGGACACACACGCCCCGAGACAAGGCGATGACGACAACGGCAGCACGCACACGCGGGTGCGATAGTTTCCACTGACCACCGCGCTCTAACATCCAGGCGCAGACAGCAAGCGCCACGCCACGCAACCACTTGCTAGCCAAGTTGGCGGTGCTGGTGCTTTGACAACCAAACGGCACTAGTCCGCAAAGCTGCACACATCTGTAGATAGCGTACCAGTGTTGGATAGCAGCACACGACGACGACGCCGACGAGATGTGTTGACTGGCTGACAACGACGACGCCGACGCCGGAGTAGCTAGCTATAGTGTTAGTAATCACTAACGATGTTCATCATGAGTTCAACTCTGAGAAAGCGTGTGTCCTCGGGGGACAGTCCGCTGCCGTGCTTCACAAAGTGGACCGTGATCAGTGCGTGGGGTACCCAGTGGGCTGCTGACAACGTCACCTGCGGGCACATACACACATACACACATACACACATACACACATACACACATACACACATGTACAAGTACACACACGTACACACACACACACACACACACACACGCACGACAGCGAGGTACCATTCGTTATGAACAGCAGCACACACTGGGGACGTTTGAGACCCGAGAATCGAGGTTCTCCCTTACACAAGCAGCACCCACAAAACAGAGCTCATGCCCATGACACATGAACATACACTATTGCATGGCTGGCGTGTAGTCAGTCAGTGTCCGATAGTGCGAGCCAGGCAGCAGATAGGTGTACATGGGGGTTCCCCGTCACACAAGCAACGGCCACAAATCAGAGTGCATGCACGTGCCCGTGGGTAGGCGTACCATCTCATCCTTCACCGGTCGGCCGCGTGGATCGATCATGACAAACTCCGCATTCTGCAGCTCCTCTCGCAGAGCGCTGTTTATGGCCAGGCGCACATCAGAGATCATCTCGTTCGGGTAGAACATAGCCTGGAGGACGGCACCGTCGTGGAAGCGCACGCGCAGCACACAATAGCGATAGGTGCGCAGTGCCGCCTGCGTGTCACGATCCCTCATTGCCTGCGAGCGCAGCACACGCGAGTGCAGCACACAGCGTGTGTGACAGGAACACAGCAACGTGTGCACACACACAGAAACAGATAGAGAGATAGGGATAGAGATAGATAGATAGAGAGATAGAGAGAGAGAGAGAGAGAGAGAGAGAGAGAGAGAGAGAGAGAGAGAGAGAGAGAGAGAGAGAGAGAGAGAGAGAGAGAGAGAGAGAGAGAGAGAGAGAGAGAGAGAGAGAGAGAGAGAGAAAGAGAGATAGATAGAGAGAGAGTGAGTGAAAGAGGAAACAGAGTGAGAGTGAGCCACAAGAAAACAACAAATAAAAAAAGCTGGTTAATCTGCACAACTGCAATGGACTAGTAGGTGTGATACTAGTACTAGTGACATTGGCATCCATTCCAATCAAATTTCACAACTGTGAGCACATCACAAGAAAAACAACACCAGTAGAGGCGACGGTTTCAAATAGGACATAGGTTGCAAACCGGAACGGACTCAATATTCACTTTCTCTCTTGGTATTTTGATTAGAAAACATAATTATGTCACAGTGAGACTACGATGTGTTATACTCCGAGCCAAAATATCATGGCTCTGCGATGACCAGAAGCGCCACACCAAGTAGGTGAGTTTTTGACGTGTTGCTTCGCACTGCGACTTGAGTTTTACGACTTTCGAAAAATCAACTTCTTGTCGCAGGTAAACAGCGGCTCGCCTCTCGCCAATAAAGCACCGCATACCAATCAAAACTAATGGAAGCACACACAAGGCTTATTGTTACTCTGTACTGGCCATCGTGGAGCGATAGCAATTACCTAATTTCAGACCCAGAGTGAATTTGACGTGCACTCTAAAACGTGTCCGGTTTGGAGCCACCTCTGATTTGAACTTTTTTGAAGCGAAAAATTGGGCAACTTGGAGGCAATGGGTCAACACAAAGGAGTGGCTCAGTTCGATTGACTCTGGCCCCAGAGCAAACTTCAACATGCCAGTTTCCTTCCACAAACATATTTCGAGTGAAAAGTCAACGCTGATGATCGGTTTGGGTCTATACAAATTTGGCTGTCAAAGCGTCCCGGTATCGAACCGTCTACTCTACATGGTAAGGGAGTGTAAAGTAGCGAACATCAACACGTCGCGAACACAAGGCACTTTACAGTGTAGAGGCTACTACTAGTAGGTGAGTGACATCGTCGTGTTTGCTTTGTACCTGGCTATGCATATGCAGTGGCAAACCAGCACTTATGATCCACAACGCCGTAAAAAACAACCCGACAAGACGGGTCACACAGTACACGTCCACCCTGGTTAGTACGACATCTGCTACAAGACAAACCTCATTAGTAGACAACGATCCAAAATCTGCTGACGCATGAAACGCGTATATTCACGTCTGGACAGTAGATAACACTCGTTATAAGACAAAGAAGAAGTTGAAACCCCCGGGATTGTCCACTAACGAGGTATGAATGTACCTGTGTGCGCAGAGTGGAGAGTGTCTCAACCTCTTGTTTCCGCCGCGCCTGTTCACGCTTCAGCTCCTCGGCCGTCATGCGGAAGAAGGCGGCCGGCAATGGGAACTGTGTCAGCCGCTGGGACACACGTAACACCTGCAGCAGGGTAGTAGTGGTCACATGATACAGAGACACGTATACAGACATGCACATGTATACACACAGACACACACATGCACACGTACACACACAGACATGCACACATACACACACACGTCACACACAGATACACACACACGTCACACACAGACGTACATGTGCACACGTATACACACACACACACACACACACATACAGACATGCACACGTACACATATACACACGCACACACACGTTCACATACCACACACATACACACCCACACATGTTCACAGACGAACACACACACACACACACACACACACACACACACGCGTACATGCTCAGATAAAGTATTCAAGAGATGCAGCGTACTGTTGGAAGAGAGGAGAGCACCAGTGTTGCACTTTTCAAAATTTAAACCGAAAACTAAAATGCTATACCCAAGACGTTGTGTAAGAGTACATAACCAAGAGTGTACAACTCCTATCTTCAGCTACAACGGACTCATCCACGGCAGACTTTATAATTATACTGTGTAATTTGGGCGGAAGTATGATCAAGTGTGTACTAGTGTGCCTCTCTGTGCTTGTCATAACGATACCTATACGTTCATCAGGTTCAGGCCCAGGTTCCGGACCAGGTTAATGACCAGGTTCGGGACCAGGTTCCGGATCAGGTTCTGGACCAGGTTCTGGATCAGGTTCGGGACCAGGTTCAGGCCCAGGTTTGGGACCAGGTTCAGAACCATGTTCAGGACCAGGTTCAGGCCCAGGTTCCAGACCAGGTTCCGGACCAGGTTTGGGACCAGATTCAGGACCAGGTTCATGACCAGATTCAGGACCAGGCCCAGATTCAGGACCAGGTCCAAATGGTATGGATCTACTGTCCGGTATTCTGAATCCACTACCTTGTGATGGTATCAGCGAGCCTTTTGATCTCTGGCTAGGCATGATTGCATCAGCGAGTCCCACGGATGCGAAAGACTCTGGGACATAAGAAAACTCTGCCGTGGGCTAAGATATCACCTTGGCGATATCCCTGTCGCCGGGTGTGTGAAAGATAGATAGATAAATAGGTAGACAGACAGACACACACACACACACACATACATACACATAACACACACACTCACCCACCCACTCATGCACACACACACACATACATACACACATACATACACACACACGTACACACACCCGTACACACACCCGTACACACACACGTACACACACACACAGTAACAGAGGGGGGGGGGGGATTCGCTCACCTGAAAGCAACGGTCTAACTTCACTTTCAGCGGCTTGGTATTTTCCAAGATCTCCATCGCAACCGTAAGCATGTCAGAGTTCCCACGGTCTGCTTCCTCCATGACAAGAAAGTCCTCTTCAGGTGCCTCACCGTCCTTGGACATCTTATGCAGCTTAAATTTCACTGCATCAAGGAACTCTAAGGCCCCCGGTACGACCACCACTCGGTCGCGCACAACGGCATTCTGCAGGCGTATCCGTCCGTACTTGGCCTCCGTCGGGTTCATGATGATGTTGTTCAGGTACTTGCGGATGGTTTCCACGCACGCCTGCAACTTTTCGCTATTCCGCGTCATCGTAAACAGCATAAACGCCGAGGTCACCAGCGGCTCGCGTGGCAGCTCCTCGCGAAAGCACTTTTCCAGATGCTCCTGACGGTCTTGCCGTCCAAAGCTCTCGCCGCACATCGGACATATCAGCTTGACGGGAAACAGTCTACTGTCGCCGCCACCTAGACCCGTAATGTTGGCGTTGCGCTGACGCACGGCCGGATCAACGGGGTTTTCCGCTGCCGTTGCCGCCGCTCCAGAGGACGATGCGCTCGCACTGGCAGAGGCTTCGCTGCTGGCTTTTCTCCGGAACACGGTGCCAGTGATGGGTGCAGTGTTACGCTGGTGTTGCTCGTGCCTGCTCAGAGCAGCCACTGCCGCCGCCGTACTTGCTTCTGATGCTGGTGCAGCAGCGGCGGCAGCAGCAGCAGCACGAGGTTGACCGCCACTCGCCGAGGCCGAGGATGGTGCTGCTGCCGAAGCCGCCCTGGCGGAGCCTGCCGACGCCGACGCGGCCCTGGAAGCGGCAGCACCAGCAGCAGCTGATGACGCCTGCTGCGATGGTGCAGCATCGAGACGATGGCCCTCGCCCGCCTTCTTGAACTTGCTGTCCAACTTCTTCTCCTCGAAAAAAGATTTGATTTTATCCATGGTCTTCTCTTCTATGGCAAAAACAGGCTAGAGAAGTCGAGACGGCGCACCAGAACAGGAGCGATAGTGAATGCAGAACACTAATGCTTCAACTCAACTACTGCAGTACCATAATAACTGTTTTCCTCAAAGCTGGTAGTTTTCTCTATGAGGGCATCGTTGCAATGGCACCCAATGCAAACACGTCGAAACGGAGGCACCCGAGAGCTGAGCAATGACTCCAATGAGTGCTCTGCGAAGCTCTCTCTCTCTCTCGCACACTGTTTTCAACACGGAATAATCTAGGAATGACTTTCCTTCCTGCTGTCGAGACACACGAAAACAACAACGTGAAGACTGGAAGAGAGAAGTAGAGCAACAACATAAGAACTGAACTGCACAGCATGAACGTTCGAACAAAACTCACCAAAAGTGAGCACGGGGAAATCAAAAAATCAAACTATTTTCTTCATCGGACACGACGTCATCGCGCAGACAGGTATGACGTAAACAACGTAACTTTAACGCCAAAGGAGTTTCAAAGGTGATATTTTTTGACATCAACATTCATATCCGACGTTCATGATTTTTTCACTTGTTCTGGATGCATGATGCATCGATGGTGAACATGGTGAATGGTACTTTTTATTGTACTGTACATGACTTGTACTACATGTACGAAGTCGTACCATCGTACTGTTGTATGAATCTGTACACTATTGCTAACGCCGTACCCATGACAGATAACACTTGCATACTAGCAAGAGTACATACCATTTATGTACTCTTGATACTAGTACAGTCGTGTAATAATGGCCACAGTGTAAGGACCCCCCCCCCGGCCCCCCTCGGGCTGCATAATAATCTGTTTTCGCCCGCAAATATTTAGAATTCATTCCCGTGACTGTAATAAAACCATGGATATAACAATCATAGTCCGATACCAAAGTATCTAGTACGGTACCAGGCGCGTGCCCCGTATGGGTTCCTGGGTGCCCGGAACCCCCCCCCCTTTTTTCGCTCAAAATGCACGATTTTGCTTCATTTTTTGAAAATTTTTCCGGGGAGGCCCCTGGAACCGCCCTTGAAGGGCACCGGCGCACGCGCCTGTACCGTAAAAGCCTGTGTATGGCCCCGGGCGTATAGAATAGCAGCCTCGATTTCCTGGGCGTATACAAGGGCACGGGCGTATACTTGGAATAGGGATAGCAGTAAGTATTGGGTATCAGTACCTGTACATGTACTGGTGTTGCCGGCATACCTGGGCGTATACATGGGCATGGGCGCTATTTTGAAACAAAAGTGTTGACTTCCCCTGACTGGGCGTGTACACGGATGGTGGGCGTAATTTCGAGTGGGCGTATACAGGGGCTTTTACGGTATACAGCTGATGCCAACAATATCCAGATAACAAGGTTGCCTGGCACAAAGAACTGACTGTAGAGACGGCCGTGAACATACTGATCTGCATGTGTGTATGTCACTGTGCAGAGGCGTAGCAGCCGGTCCGGCTTTGGCCGGACCACTTTTTCGCCCGACCACATTTTTGCACCCTAATTTCAAAATTTAATTTCTGTGCAAAGATAGCGGACAAGATCTGAATGAAACAGATCAAGACTACATGAACCGCCAGATAACTGCCCAATCCACACAACTGGCGAAGCTATGTGAATCGATTCCCCCCCCCCCCCCCACAAATGCACACCAGGTCTACACCACACGGAGCACATTGGAATATGACGGCCAAGACAGTTACCTATGCACACCCTGCACCTTACACAGGTTAGGCGATAACGTCAAATCCGCCATATATAGGAGCCAGTTGGGGTGGCAAAATGCCCAAAGGGGGTACAGAAACCCCTTATATAGAATAATTTGGGGTGGCAAATGTACTGTATGACGTGTATCGCATAACCTCTGACAGCACGCTGCTTTGATAAAAATAGACACTGTACTCTGTAGATGTAAAGGTACCTGGAAGAAAAATTGGAGTTACTTTACCAACCAGCCTCGGCAACTGAGTACTGGGAGCCCAGAGCCAATAGACATACCAACAACCTCAGCCATGAAAGCTATAGTACCCGACACACTGGATTGTGGAGCCGAAACTAGTCCAAACTCCAACAGGTTGGACACACACACACACACACACACACACACACACACACACACACACACACACACACACACACACCTCAGACCTCAGACATGCCCATTGCGGAAGCGATGATAGCGAACAGCTATGTTAGACACACACACACACACACACGCGCAAACGCACGGTACTGGTATGTATCGCAATGCACCCCGGAATCAAAACGTATAGCGAACAAAATTCTCCAAATCAAGATCAGAAAATATCCTAAGAACAAGAACACAAGTGTCAGGACAGTAACCATGACTCCATGGCACATGCAATAACTGCTTACGGCACCAGTAACTGTAACAACAGGGGAAGAATTTGAATATTTGAAAAGATGCATTGACCGTGTATGGATGACGAGAGGGAAACCGAGCGAAACGAACCTTTGCACGCCTGATGCAGCCTAGTCGTCACAAAATAGACAACCAGACATACTACATGATAGTACTAAGAAGTAGGAAAGATATCGGGGGATGGTAACTCATAGTTCCTATAGCGCAGAGACTATAGCAATTCTCTAGTCCGGGTGGCGGTAAGCGATTGACATATGCCAGTGCTCTGGAATGCGCTCTGAAGTCCGAGGGCAAACCGAGGCGGCAATGGTGGTCAGGGGGGGGGGGGGCGAGCGTGAGGTCCGGTGGGCTCATTTCGGGAGCGATTCAATATGTCTGTACACGTGTGTTCTAGTGCAAGTAGCGGTGGTGGGCAATGTTTCTCGGAACGCACATGGCTGGGGTACAACCAGCAGCAACAATCACGTACGTGCACGTGCAAGTCGGTCTTGGAGAAGGAGCAAGAGACCATGACTGTAGCGATTTACTTGCTCTTAGCCTTGAGTGCCTCAAGGTAGCGGCCCAGACCCGCCTGTACTGAGTCCTGGAGCACAAAGGCGGCAAACATATCAACATCGTTCTCGCGACCGGCTTCAAAGCGTTCGACAATGTGCTCGCGGACCTGTCTCTTCGTCATCACCCGAGCAGCATCTGAACAAGATACAGAAAAGAGAACGCATACACACAGCAAAGGTTATCTCAATCTGTAGGTGCACATCCAGAGCATTCGCAGGTTTGCATGCTTCTCTTGCAACAGGCGTATACATGGCACATGGTGTGTGTGTGTGTGTGTGTGTCCACTCAGAGTTTGAGGATTTGAGGGGGGGGGGGGGGGGGGGCGTGGGGCGTTGGACAGTTCAATAGCCAATTGAGTTATCTTTCTAAGATTCGTTTTGAGTCTCTCTCCCCTCTCCCAGGGAGACCCAGGTGACCAGTTTTGGCAGTGAGCAAGTACAAGTGTGTGTGTGTGTGTGTGTGTGTGCATGTGTGTGTATGCGTGTGTATGTGTGTGTGTGTGTGTGTGTGTGTGTGTGTGTGTGTGTGTGTGTGTGTGTGTGTGTGTGTGTGTGTGTGTGTGTGGTGTGTGGTGTGTGTGTGCCTGTGTGTATATGCAGGAACTACTGGTACAACGGTAGAACGAGGTGCATGTGCTGCAGCTACATTATAACATACTGTAGTGTCTTGTATAAAAGCCTGTTTTGAGTACAAGCCTGATTTTTAAGATACACTGTCAGCGCATACGCCTGGTTTAGTGTTGACATACATAGAGATACGTGGTTTGAATAGAAGCCTGACTTGAATAGAAAGACTAGCACTGACATCGGCTTATACGGCCGTAAGCACCTGCTTTTATACGCGACATTCGGCCGCGGTCACACCGAGCCCGATTCAGCCGTTCAGCCGAAAAAAGCGCTTTTTTCGGCTGAGGTTTCCACGGAAACAGCTGAAAATCGGGGCACCAGCCACTTTCAGCTTTCAGCCCTTTTGGAAGCGCTGAAAAGCTGAAAGTGGCTGAATAACTTTGGCTGAAGTGCAAGAGTACAAGAGTGCAAGTCTGAGAGGAGTTGAAGAACTTCGACGTTTGTTGTAGTCAGGTAGTTTCTTCCCGGGATCCCACGTGGAGATTCAAAATTAGGACGTAGTGTGTACGCAAATCACGTATATTGGGCATAGGGGTCATCCTCCAAATAAAGAAAAACCCGGGAAAACCCGCGTCAGCCAGTTTTGGTGTGACCGTCAGCTGGCTAGTCGCAAGCCACTTTCAGCGCAAGCCAAAAACGGCTGAACTTGGTGAGACCGCGGCCTCACGGCTGTTTTTTTCGCGAAATTTGGACATTTAACAAGATGGCAGCCAAAAGTCTCGATTGGGCTGGATCGGCAAGGAAATTTGAATTTTCAAATTCTCAGCAGCCGATTTCGCTGTGGTTTTCGCTCGATTTAGAAAGCTACCAGGCCTGGTTTACCCGGAAAACAGGTATTC